TCTCCCGCATGTACCGTGCACGTGCCTCTGCTAGTGCCACCCACTGGTCTGCTCCCGTGACTCGCACCACATCCGTTAGCACCTTTGGTGCTCCTACTGGCAGGATTGGCTCCCTCCCGAACAGCAGACTATATGGGGAGTAGTCCTTCAGGGAGGCCTGCTTCCCGAACCTGTATCCTGCTGCGATCCAGTCCAGCTCTTCATCCCAGTCTCTCTTACGCTTCTCCCCATATGCCCTCAGGTTCCGCTTCAATGTCTGCACCAGGCGCTCAGTCAGCCCATCGCTCTGTGGGTGATACCTTGATGTCAGTCTGTGTGTTACCCTGGCCTCGTCCAGCAGTGCCTGAAATTCCCCTCTGAATTTCGTCCCTTGATCAGTAAGCATTTCCCCTGGTGCTCCAAACCTGCACAGTACCTGTCCCTTGAACGCTTTTGCCACGTGCCTGGAATCTTTGCTGGGCAACGCACACACCTCCAGCCACTTGCTTGCGTGTTCCACCATGAGCAGTATATACCGCTTGCCTCCCCTGCTCAGCGGCAGCTCACCAGCTATGTCCAGAGACCACCTGAACCCCAACCCTCTTATCGGGAGTGACTGCAGCTCCAGCTTCGCCTGTGTCAGACTGGCCTTACTCCTCTGACACCCTTCGCATCCACTGACCCATTCTCTGACCTGCCTTCTCATTCCCTCCCACCACCAGCCTGTCTTCAACAGTTCCGTTGTGCGCTCGTGCCCAAAGTGCCCCAGCTTCCTGTGCACTTCTTTAATCAGTCCCTCCCTTTCCTGTGGTGCAGGTATCAGTTTCCACCCGTCCGCTGACTGCAACTGCAGCTGCCCCTGATACCATCGGTAATGGTGTCCCCTCGCCCTCACCCTGTCAGAGACCTGCTCATCCTCATCGGTTTCTCCTTTAATCCATCGCAGCGCTGCTGGATCTTCCCAAATGTCCTTTGGTCCCTTTTTCTTCCCTGCTGCTGCCTCCTCCCCTTGCCTCGCCAGCATCATCAGCGTGTGCACTGGCTCTGCTGCCGGCGGGTTCCTTGAGAGCCCGTCCACATGCTGCAGGGTCTTCCCCGGCCTGTGGCGTATCTTAAAGTCGTATTCTTGCAGCGTCACGGCCCAACGCGCATTCCTCCCTATCAGCCCTTGGTGTGTCATCAACCATTGCAGGGGCTGATGGTCTGTGATCAGTGTAAACTCCCTCCCCTGCAGGTATACCCTGAAGTGCTTCACAGCCCACACGGCTGCCAACCCCTCCCCGTGGTAGGAGCTGTACTTGGCTTCCGCTGGGCTGCAGCTCCTCCTTGCGTACGCCACCACTCTCTCTTCCCCGTCCAATTCTTGACACAGGATGGCGCCCATGCCTTGACTGCTCCAGTCGGTATACAGGCAGAAGGGCTTATCGGCCCTAGGTAACTGCAGGATTGTTGCCGTCTGTACCGCCTCCATCAGGTCCTTCAGCGCTGCTTCCTGTTCCATCCCCCATTCCCACTTCCTATCCTCCTTCAACAACCCGTTCAGCGGTGCGGCCCGCTTGCTGAAATTCGGGACGAACCTGCGGTATTAGCTCAGGAATCCTAGTACCGCCCTCAGTCCGCTCCTGTCCTTTGGCTGCTGCAGCCTGTTCAAGACCTCAATCTTTGCCTGCTGAATTCCTAACTGCCCGCCCCTGACCTCATATCCCAGGTAGTGCACAGTCGCCTCTCCCCACCTGCATTTCTTCGGATGGCATGTTAGCCCAGCTGCTGTTAACGCCTTCAGTGTCTGCTCCACATCTCTCACGTGCTCGTCCTCCGTTCTGCTGAAAATCACTACATCGTCTATATAACATGCCGCACACTCCAGTCCCCTCAGCACGCTATCCATCACTCTCTGAAAGATGGCCGACGCATTTCTCAGCCCAAACGGCATGAATAGCCACTCGTACAAGCCATCTGCCCCATGGAACGCCGTCTTGCGCACGTCCTCTTTCCTTATCCTGATCTGGTTGAACCCCTGTCTCAAGTCTAGTGTGCTGAAGATCTCCCCTGCCCCCAGTCGGTCAAAGATATCCTCCGCTGTGGGCATTGGGTACCTGTCGGGCACTGTCACTTTGTTCAGTGCTCGATAGTCCCCACACATGCGTCTGCTCAGCACTTCCCCTAGCAGGTCCTTACGGGCAGCTACCACAGTAGGTGTCGCGTACTCTGATTCTGATCTCTGTATCAGCCGTGCTTCCATCAGCTCCCTGCATTTTTCCTTGCAAATGTCCTCATCTCCAGGTGTCATCCTCCGCTTCCTTTGGAACACCGGCTCGTCCGTCACCAGCCTTAACTCCATCTCCTTCACAGAACACTTCCCCAGCTCCTGTAAGGTGAAGGCGAAGGCGTGCCTGTACCTTGCCAGCACCTCCTGCATTGCCTCCTTTCCTTTCTCACTCATTGCATTCCCCACAACCCACTTTGGCTCTTCCTCGGCTGCCATGCATGCCCATGCCCCCACCTGTTTCACCCTTGTCCCCTCACTCCCTTGCTCTTTTTCCTCTTCCAGCACTAACCCTCTCCACATCCGCCGCACTAGCCACAGCATAACCTGGCCGTCCATGGCTTGTCCTAATGCCCTCCTCCTCTCCCTTTCCGTCACCCCTACTGCCTTTGTTACCTCCTCTCCATACCCCATTACCAATTCCCTTTCCAACGCAGTCGGCTCCTCCCATTTCTTCGTCCTGCTGTCGTACACCATGCCTTCCCATGGCATCCCGTCTTCCTCTCTGAACCCTGCTGCTCCCTCGTATCCCACTAAGGTTGGCCAGGCCCTGCGCTCTGCCCCCACTTTGTTGCACGGGCACTGTGTTTCATGCCTGCCCTTCCTGACAGGCGCTGCTGTCCTTCCCGGTTCTAAAATCTCTCTCACCGTCCTGCCCCAATCCCTTCGTATCCCGTCCAGTTCCTGCTGCAGTTGCTCATCTGCCACAATATTTTGCCAGTACCGTCGGACACGATGCGCCCGTGCCCCCAGCCTAGCCGCATCACATCTCACCCCTTTCCCTAGCTTCCTTGTCACCAACTCCTGTACCTTCCTCACCGGCTCCCTGCAATCCCCTTCCAAATCCAGGTGCTCCAGCAGGTACACCACTTTTTCTTGTCCCTCTTTAATCCAATCTATGATGCACAGCAAGTTCACAAGCAGCGCGCCTCTTGGATCGCTCAGCCCCTTACCTTTTCCTGCTCTCGACACGGCTTGACACTCCCATCCTGCCACCAACAGGTCCACATGCCCCCAACTTCTTACTATCTCCCGCGTGATGCTTCTTACATCGGTCAGTCTCCCCTGCATGGCCTTCTCTATCACTGCCTCATCCAGTAACTCCGGATACTCCTGCTGCAGCTTTCTCGCATGATGTTCTGCCATCTTCCTCACTTTCTCGTTACTATCCACATATATCCACTCCTTCACTGCCACCCCTGCCTTGAGCAGTGCCGCTAACCCTGCTCCGATTCCCCCAAACAGTTCTACTAGCTTTATTGGCTCCTGCCACGCGTTGGCCGCTGCTGCTTTGCCCACGAGTCCTGCTCTACCTCTCCCCTTTGTCCCCGTCTGCTCAGCCGTGTACGCTCTCTTCGGCTCCTACTTCACGAATGACACTGGCAACTCTCCTGACTTGCTCCCCCGCACCCAATACTGCTTCCGAAACTTCACCTTTTCTTTCCATGTGCAAATGGTCATCCCCACGCCCCAAATCAAATCCGTGCCTAGCAACACATCAAAGTCTTCTGAGTCAGAGATCCCACACTGCAGCCTTATGCTGGTCTGCTCCTCCCTCCCTGGCATCAGGACGATCTCCACTAGATTCTTGGTGCACGGCAACCACTTAGGTTCACCCCCTTCTGCTGTCATGACCAGCATTCCCCTCTTTATGTGCTGCCCTGGCCCTGTCAACCCCAGCTTCTCTGCTAGCCGCTTCCCCAACATCACACTCTGTGCCCCCGTGTCTAAGATTGCGGTTCTTGCCATTTCCCCTCCTACTGCCACTGTCCCTGCTCCTGCCATCAGCACTGTCGCGTGACTGGCTAGCCGCTCCTTGGGATGCCTGGCTGGTTCCTCCTCCCCACAGTCCTCCTCTGGTTCTTGCCTTGGCCTGCCCTTCTCCTTGACTATGTGTTCCTTTCTCCCATCTTTGCCCCCGCTGCGCAGGCCCAACTCCGCTCGGCTGCGTAGCACCATAAAATTGTACTCCGGCTCTGGCTCCTCTATCACCTCTGCTTCGTCATCCTCCTCTCGTGCATATAACCCCGCCTCCTTCTCCTTCTTCCCTCCTAATGCCTGCAGCTGTGCCTGCAATCTCCCTATCTGGCTCTCAATCTCCTCTGGCGTCCTCTTCGGCCCTCCCGTACGTTGGTAGCAGTCCTTCCCCTTGTGCCCCCGCCTCCCGCAAACCTCGCAGGTTGGCGCATCCGGGCAGTCCTTGCGCCTGTGTCCCGGCTTCCCACACGTGTCGCAATTCCTGCAGTTCCTCGCCAAGTGCCCTGGTTGCTTGCATCTGTGGCAGGTGCGTGTCTCAGCCCCTCTCTCCTGCCGACTCTCCTCCCTTCCTCCTGTCTCATGTATCATTGCTGCAGCCCACGCGGGATTCCTCTTCTCTGTCGGCCTCGGCAGGTACACCTCATACTTCCTCTGCGCCAGCTCCACTCTCTCCGCCAGCTCAAATACTTCTTCCGGCGTTGCGTCAGCTCCTAATTCGTAGACCCTCATCCCCAGTCCTCCTGCCAGCCCTTTATCCAACCCATTCAAGAACTTGCTAATGATCATGCTGTGGTCCGTGCACACCACGTCCTCCGCCAGATTCATCAATCTCCCATAGTATGTCAGTAACGACTCCTCATCCTTCCGTTTAAACTCCTGGAACTCCTTGATACGCGCGGCTGTATGCCCGGGAAACTGCTTCCTTAGCCGCTCCAAAAACAGCAGGGTTGGATCCTCACCGTCCTCTTCTGCCCTCCTCAGCCACTCCCTAATCTTCATGCGGTATAATGTCTCTGCTTCTCCCCCTAGCGTGTGTGGCAAGCTTAGGAAAAAGTCAATGGGGTCCATCCCAATCCTGTCACATCTGTATTTGACATTGCTTATCTGCATCAAGTAATTCTTGAGGCTTGGACCCGTGATTTCGCTCCCTGTGAAGCGTACCGGCACCTCCACTCTTGGCGGTGCTGCCGTGCCCCACCTGCCTATCTCCCAGTTTCCTGAGTCTCCTTGCTCTACAGGTGTGCCTCTTCTCTGCTTCCCTCCTTCTCCCTTGCTCCCCGTGCTGGTCCCGTACAGCACTCGCTCCAACCCTTCGCGCGCCGCTCTTGCTCCAGCCGATTCTTCTCTGTATTGCCTCCTTGGCCCTATAGGACTGGGGCTCCTCCTCCTGTCCCTCTCAAGGTTTTCTCTGCGCCCCTCCGTCCATATCCTGTCCCTCCCCGCGGGTGAACGCCCCTGGTGCCGCCTTTCTTGCTCTCTCCTCACCCATCTCTTCTCCTCCGCCCTCGAACAATACTGTGACTGCCGGCCCCCATCCCTGCCCCTTCCTTCCTCGGCATACCTCCGCTCTTGCTCAGGTGGGCTTCTCTGGCGTCGCCCCACATACTCTTCCCGTCCGTGCTGTCGCTGTGGACTCGGCCTCCTCCCTTCACCCATCGCCATGCGTCGCTGGCGATTTTACCCTAGCGTTGGTTCCGGCGAACGAAATGCACCTGGTGCCGCCTCTTGATCTCTTCCGCCCTCCGCCTGCGCCTTGTACTGCTGTCCAACACCTTGGACCCTCCCTCGCGGCGCACTTTCGCCTCGCCGCCTCATAGGTGAGCCTTCTTCCGTCTCGCCTCCCTTGTAATACTCCTGCATCTTCTTTCCTTGGCTCTGCTCCTGCTCCCTCTTTCCGGCGTCCCCTCGTTTCCCCTCTCTCCGAGCAGCTGGGAAATCTCCTTCGTCAACATTGTTGCGCCTCTCGCTGCCCCGCGCAGTGGGAGAAGCTTCGTCGTCGGCGTTGACGCGCCTCCCGCCGCCCCGCGCGGTGGGGGAACCTTCGTCGTTGACATTGCTGCGCCTTCCGCCGCCCCGCGCAGTGGTGAAAACCTCGTCGTCGGCGCTGATGCGCCTCCCGCCGCCCCGTGCGGTGGGGAAACCTTCGTCATCGGCGTCGACACGCCTTCCGCCGCCCCGCGCAGTGGGGGAACCTTCGTCGTCGGCGTCGACACGCCTTCCGCCGCCCCGCGCAGTGGGGGAACCTTCGTCGTCGGCGTCGTCATGCCTTCCGCCGCCCCGCGCAGTGGGGGAACCTTCGTCGTCGGCGTTGACATGCCTTCCGCCGCCCCGCGCAGTGGGGGAACCTTCGTCGTCGGCGTTGACATGCCTTCCACCGCCCCGCGCAGTGGGGGAACCTTCGCCGTCGGCGTTGACATGCCTTCCGCCGCCCCGCGCAGTGGGGGAACCTTCGTCGTTGGCGTTGACATGCCTTCCGCCGCCCCGCGCAGTGGGGGAACCTTCGTCGTTGGCGTTGACATGCCTTCCGCCGCCCCGCGCAGTGGGGGAACCTTCGTCGTTGGCGTTGACATGCCTTCCGCCGCCCCGTGCAAGCAGGGTATCTTCTCGTCCTTCCTCTTCACCCTGCTTGCCCGCCGGATCCACGTCCATGTCTTCGGCTTGGCGGCTTCCATCCCCTCCGTGCTGGCCTCCGGCCAGGTTCCACGGGTTGCTCGTTGTGGGACGCCTCCAAGGCTCCGATCTGACGCTTACATCCTCCCTGCTTCCTTCTCGTCGCCCGTCCGTTGGCGTCACCGGATCCGCGCGATACGCCGCCCGACGGGACGAGCGCGTCGGCGATCTCCCACGCTCCCTGGAGCGCCTCATCCGCGACGGAGATTGCTCCCGCCGCGCGTACGTCCGCTGCATGTGCAGATCGTGGCGATCCATGTCGCCGGCCAACTTCTCTCGCTTTGTGAGAGAATCGTGCTCCCACCCCATGGCTGCCCACAGTGGCTTAGAGCTACCTAGCTGGAGTTAGCTTAAATCGGCAACTTCAATCCACTCTATGAGGCAAACAAAGCGAGAGAAAAGGCTCAATTGGCTAGGCTAGGCTACTTTATTCCCACTCTGAGTTTTGGCAATTGCCATCACCTTGAGTTGGGTTCGGGTCGCCTTGTGCCCTTACTGGTCGATGTAGATTTCCTGTCCCTCGAGGCGCCTTGTCACTTTTCCCAATGCCCCCAATTCCCCATGCCAACAACTTCGCGTCATTCCCCTGGCCCAAGGAATCCCCTACACCCGAATGGCATAACCCCAACCTACACCCTTCTACACCCATTCTAGCAAGCAACAGAATATATTGTTCTTTGCCACTATATTTGTTGACAGTGGGTTTTGTCAAAAGAGAGGTGACTTCTTTGTCTGAAGAAAATAAGTCTGCGTAAATTCGGATACTACTGCACGGTTTTATGGCGTCAGAAAACGGGGAGCGAGGAACATCTCGAATCATCCTGGTAATAAATGGGTTTGAGGGAGTGCGTGGGTGACTCAATTGTCTAAGAGTTCGACGCAGGAATAAAGTACTGCTCTTGAGACGTTCCGGACTTCGAAACTAGTCTTTATGACATGGTTTGAGGGAGTACGTGGATGACTCATTTCTTATAGGAACTTCGCCCAAATTCAGGAAGAAAGTGGAGAAGGACCAATCAGATCGTTTGGAAAAAAAGGGCAGCGGGAAGAGGAGGACCCGAAATGTAGGGAGCGGAGTCGTCGGGGAGACGAGACGCGTTTAACCGCATCCGCCGGTCTTGTTTGGACTAGTCTGCTCGACAGACGGCGATGACAGACGAGAGGGGGAGGAGGGGAGATGCGAACAGGGGAGGCAGTTTGGGGGGGTGAGGTGGGGAGGGGACAAGGGGGTTTGAATCGGGTTTGAATCCGTGAATGGCGAGGACGATGAGAGCCATTATACTGTAACTGACACTCAGCCGCGGCGAGGCGACGGATACTGCAGATTACGAAGAGAGGGAGCAGACTGACAACTTAAGTCAAGACTGCCGCTTTACGTGACTATGCAGGGATTGGTAGCGGGGGATTGGTAGTGGGGGATTGGTAGTGGGGGATTGGTAGTGGGGGATTGGTAGCGGGGGATTGGTAGTGGGGGATTGGTAGTGGGGGATTGGTAGTGGGGGATTGGTAGTGGGGGATTCGTAGCGGGGGATTGGTAGTGGGGGATTGGTAGTGGGGGATTCGTAGCGGCAGATTCTGGCGGTTAATACGGCTTGATACAGGCAAGATCAAATCAAGAACCTAGGTTTATGTCACGCGCTTGAACTAATCACTGAACGTGCAACAGTATGTGGATCTAAGCCGAAGATACACCAAAGGGTTTATGTCACGCGCTGGAACTAATCAATGACTGTGCAACACCACGTGAGTCCTGACATGTATTCTGGATCACACGGTTACAGCCGTGCTGTAATTTTCTGACATCCGAAGGTTGCCATCATCCCAAGTTCTAGACAATCGGACGATCCCGAATTGTGCTAATTAAAACTGTATTTACAACGAAGGTAGGTGCACAGAGCTAGGGAGAAAGAAAGAAATAAGGGAAAGAAGATGTAAGCTAGATTCAGGCGGGAAACTGACCATGCACATGGATAGGCAAAGGAGAGCAGCAGATAGGAAATGGCAAAGGGTAGGCAATCTGGCACGACAACGACAGGAGTCTCCCAAACCATTCAGGCACGAAAATGTCTCTCCGAGCTGCCCATACGTTTAAATAACGCACGGCAACCCGAAACGTAAAAACCTAAGGCTGAAAAGACCCACTCATCAGTACCATGTGTTGACGCCAGAGGTAATGCAGTGGGAGAAACGGAGGCTACTGTATCGTTCATCATCTCACAAACTCGCGAAACTAATCCTTTCTAGAAACTCGTGTACAGTTCTAATCGTGGGTGCCTTGTTTCTGGAAATGGATACTCGTGACTGCCCGTTGAGAAACTGGCTACTGTACATTCGAGGTATAGTACAAATCCATCTCTTGTTGGGGCTCCCGAGCGCTACTGACGCTACCGAGTGAGATGTATTGGGTGCTCACTGCCTCAGCACCAGCCGTTGCTTGGTCGTCGTGCGTGACTCGTGTCGTCGTCCGTGAACGGGCGGCACCGAAGAGCCACGAAGGAGCGTGAACCTGCGATGGAACCAACATTCATGGTTACAGTACAACTGTGCGAAGTGCCCTGGGAAATGGGCGAACGTACGTGTTCTCCTCGCATCCGGTTGTTTCATGCAGTCACTTATTTCGCAATTTTGTGTTGGCCCGCAGCTCCCCCACGGTGACTGCACGACTGAAAAGTTGAAGCAAGGCTGGTTATCCGGTATAAGCTGATCATGTTGGCAAAGTTTTCGGGCTTAATGAAGCTGAGAGTTCTGAGAGATTTTGCCTCCAATAAAAAGATCATTTAGACCTCAGCAACGTCAGTCCTCCAGTGCGGAGCAGACCACCTCTTAATTAGTTGCATGTTTTCTTCATACATACAGTACATTTATGTGAATCCTGACAGCATCTAATCACCCAACACAAGAGTCAGTTGTTGGGGTGGTATCCATGCCATGAGCAGCAACACCGGTTCCAGCCAGCAGCCCTTTCGAAAACAGGGGAGAGTGAGCTCCTGCGTTATCTGCATCACACGCACAATGAGGCGGAGAAAATTGGTGAAGCTTGGGAACGGCCCACATGAGAGGGGCTCACTGGGTGTGAAGCAGCAGTTACTGTTAGTGCAGCAGCAGGCGAAGCGGGTGCATTTGGGGGAGGGTGCACCTGAGATTCTTCTGGAGTCTGGGTGGGAAGCTGTGGGATGGCCTTTTGGAGCGGCACTGACAGGAACAATCATGGTGGTGGTTGTAACCGCAGCAGCTGCAGCAACCCTGCAGCTGCACGCTATGGCTGTAGCCGCAGCAGCTGCAGCAACCTTGAAGCAGCACTTATGGCTATGGCTGAAGCTGCAGCAGTTGCAGCAACATTGCGCCTCCATAGCAGTTGCAGGTGCATCGGGAGTGGCACTGGTAGGAGCAATCATGGCTACTATGGTTGTAGCCGCAGCGACTGTAGCAACATCACGTCTTCTCATTGCTATGATGCTATGGTATGGGATGGGACCATCATCTCGGGATGGGATATGATGCTATGCTACTATGATGCAGGTGATGAGATTGGGGATGGGCTGGTAACTAGGTGGGGGATGGTGCTGCTCCTCGCTCTGTTGCTGCTGCTGAAGGTGTTAATAATGGTGCGGATGATGGTGCTAATGACGGTGATGAAGGTGCTAATGCCGGTGCTACTGATGGTGGTAACCAAGGTGCGAATGATGGTGCTGATGGTGAGAATGACGGTGATAACGCTGGAGGTGACAGAGCTGGAGATGGCGCCTATGATGCTGGTGAAGATGATGATGGTGATGATGCTGAAGATGTTGCCGCCTTTCATGAGATGCGGAGACGCCGGGCCCTGCCTTGCCCGGTAAGGCAAGACTCGATCCGCCATCGGCGCGCCGCCTGCCTACCGCCTGCCTCCATCGATGAGACGCGGAGCCGCCGGCCCCTGGCCTGCTCTGTTTTGAGATGTCTCAAAAGACGCCGGCCCCTGGCCTGCTCTGTTTTGAGATGTCTCAAAAGACGCCGGCCCCTGGCCTGCTCTGTTTTGAGATGTCTCATAAGACGCCGGCCCCTGGCCTGCTCTGTTTTGAGATGTCTCAAAAGACGCCGGCCCCTGGCCTGCTCTGTAAGTCAAAACTCGCGTCACCATCGCCACCCGCCGCCTGCTGGCCGCAGTGGTGGTAGTGACGGTGACGGTCGCGCAGCCCTGCTGCCGCTGGTATTGGTGCTCGGGGAGGCGGAGCGCGGGAAACCTGCGTGGCAGGGCGAGGTGAGGCCGCGAGATCTGGCGAAGCGAGACGCGCCCGCGAGAGGATCCGAGTCGTGGCGGGGCCGCGATGGTGCGCGCGACGAGGCCTTCAACGGTCACGAGAGGAGGCCCGGCCTTCAACGGTCGCGTGGTATAACGAGGCGAGGCCTTCAACGGTCGCGACTCTGCAGAGGATGTCGTATTGAGGGTAGGCGAGGCGAGGCGAGGACGCGTAGGTGCGAGACGGGTGTGGGAGGTGGCAGGCCTGCAAGGCGGGCAAGCGCGCTGTTATCCCTTCAGGGGAGAACGACTCTGTTAACAATGGCGTGAGTTAGGCGAAACTGAGAGCGTAGCCTGAGCCAAGGCGTTGGCGTGTGCGCGTATAAACAACGTGACCGTGTGCTAGGACAGTCTGCGTCGAAAAATCTCTCTTATCACGCCGCCGGTTTTGCGAGTTTAAACGTGTAGGATGCGGTTTGCAAGTTTAGACGTGTGGGATGCGCTATGCGAGTCTTGACGTGTGGCGTAAACTCGCGCGTTTTCGTGATTAGTATACTAGTCGGAATCTTCCAACAAACCCCTTACAAGGGAATATGAAAATCAGTGAAGGGTGAGGTATTGGTTGGGGAATGAAGCTGACGAACGGGTAACGAAAACAGTTTCCAGCAGTTTAAACATAGCGAAAGTAACACATTCGCGAAGATCCGGAAGGCAAGAAGGCCAGCTATTCCGTGACGCGACGGGTTTGTGTGATTGCTGAACCGCACTGTGGGGGCTAACGAGATTACACAAGCTCGCTTACTGGTAACACGATTGGGTATCTCGAATGAAGATTTCGCCATTAGAGACGAACATGTATTCGCCCAAGCGAGGTCAAACGACGCTATTCGCGGTGACAGGCTGCGTCACATTTGGTTTCGCATCACCTGAGAGTCGCATGTTTCGCAGGTAGGTGGCGATGAGATGATTCAACAGGAGACGAAAGTGTCGTTGCCATTCGTCTCGACAACAAACCACGGCACGCCGGGTTTAGCGGCAGGGCATTCTTGACTGTAGCAGCAAGCTGGAAGAGCAGCGAGGTGAGAGAGCAGCAGAGAAGCAGCGAGCAATCTCCATCGATCGTCGAGCCCTGAGGAGAGAGAGGATTTAGCAATAATGAGCTGACCGTCGAACTGACAGAAGGCCCCATCCCCTCCGTCACACGACCACAGCACATCCACGGGAGTTCGTTCATCCCAGCAGCCGCTCATTGGCCTCCCTGATAACATGGCATTGTCACAATGGCGACGGTATACGGTAGAAGAATACTTGAGATGATCGCGGCTCAATGCCTAGGCCTTCTCTTTGTTTGTCCCTATGAGGTCCCTGTCTCATCCGCTGCAGCGCGACTCGTTCTGACACGACATCCGTGGCTCGCGCCAGGGCACGGGCCGGCAGGCCGCCAGCTGCTTCAGCCGGCGCGGCTGGTTGTGCGAATCCCACGTCAGAAAAGCCTCGCATTCTGGTAAATTTCCTACGCCCTGCCCAGAATTCAGCAGATTCGTCTTCCTGGCTCCCAGCTGTTCCTACAAGACATGATCAACCAGTGCTAGCTCGGAGCTCCTCGAACCTGCGCGTCGAGGAGGGCTCGAGCGCGCTCGGTGCCGGTACTGCCAAGGAACGGGACGTTCCTGTTCCCTGAGGCGAGGCGCGGCGCGGCGCATTACTTACACATTCTAAAACTTGGCAAGCTTTCGACGGGTCGTCGTAGGACACTGAGAAAAGGAACGAGGAGGTTGGCAGTGGTCGAGTCGACCGTCACAATCGCGAGCACCGGCGCCGTGCGCGGGCTGAAGCACCAACGCGCGCAAATGATCATAAGCGAAGTTATTGGAAGGAAGCGAGACGTGAACGCGGCAGGGGAGATTCCTTCTACCACGATTTCCGCTGAGTCATCAGATTCCCTAGCCGCCACCCACGGCGCCTCCCTCGCTTCCCTCGACTCGCCCAACGAGGTCATTTTCCATGAAGGGCCCACCGACTCGGAAGAGAAGACATCGACGCTTGCTATTTCTGCTGCCGTCTCGGCCGCCGTCGCCGAGACGCAGAAGCTTTATGGAGCCGCGGCTGCTGCCGTTGTTGCCGATCTCGCACCGTCCCTCGTCAGCACCGCGTCTCCCGCCGCGATCGACGCTCACATCCGCGCGTGCGTCTCCGACGGCCTCGACTCCGCTTTCTACGTCATGGACGCCGGCGTCGCGCTGCAGCTGCACGCCACGTGGACGCAGCTGCTGCCACGTGTGCAACCCTTCTATGCCGTCAAGTGCAACCCCGACCCGGCGCTCCTCTCCCTGCTCGCATCCGTCGGTGCAGGATTCGACGTGGCCAGCAAAGCCGAAATGGAAATGGTCGCCGCGGCTTGCGGCGGATCCCTCCCGGACCCGTCGCGCATCATCTACGCCAACCCCTGCAAGCTCCCGGCGCACATCCGCTTCGCGGCGGCGGCCGGCGTGAACATGACGACGTTCGACTCGGTCACGGAGCTGCAGAAGCTGCGCCGCTGGAACCCGTCCGCGCAGGCGGTGTTGCGCGTGCGCGTGGACGACCCGGGCGCGCGCTGTCCCATGGGGGTGAAGTACGGCGCGGAGGCGGAGGAGTGCCCGGAGCTGCTGGCGGCGGCGCAGGAGCTAGGCGTGGAGGTGGTAGGCGTGGCGTTCCACGTGGGCAGCGGAGCCAAGGACGCGCGGATTCTCGGAGACGCGATCATGCTCGCGAGGGATGTCTTCAACGTGGCGGAGCAGCTGGGCATGGCGCCGCTGTCGTTGCTGGATATCGGAGGAGGCTTCACGTACGACGGGCTGCAGGATGATGACTACGCGAGCGCCGGTGGTGGAGCGGGCGCTGAGGATGGTGGTGCTGATGGCGAGATGTCGTTCCTGAAGGCGTGCTACTCCGTGAACGTCGCTCTCGCAAAGTACTTTCCTGAAGAGATGGGCGTGCGTGTGATCGCCGAACCTGGGCGCTTCTTCGCGGAAGCTCCCTTTATGCTGGCTACGAAGGTGTTTGGCGTGCGCTCCCGAAGGACCACGGCCAGCAAGGCTGCTGCGCTCGCCGCTCTCACCGAGCACGCGTCGAGCTCATCTGGAAACGCGTCGGCTGGTGAATGCGCGGTGATGGAGTATTGGATTGACGATGGCATCTACGGGTCCATGAACTGCCTGCTGTACGACCATGCGGTTATCTCCGCTCGCCCTGTCAAGATGGCTGCTGAGGGACAAGACGCGGCGGAGGAGGGGCAGCTGTGCCGGTCGACGGTCTTTGGGCCGACGTGCGATGGCTTGGACACGATTCTGAGGGATGTGTGGCTGCCGCGCCTCGACCTGGATGACTGGCTGGTGAGTTGAAGGGAATGTTCTTTTGTACTATGGCCTTCTCCTGGGCTGAATGTTTCTTGGAAAATGGCTGCATTATGGGATCGGGGTTCCGTCATTATGACGTGGGTTCTATCACCTGTGTTGTTTTCGGCTTCTTACGTGGTTGATTCTGTCCTGCTTTTTTCCTTACCAGGTGTTTCCGAAGATGGGTGCGTACACCCAAGCAGCTGGGTCCAGCTTCAATGGCTTCGTCACGTCTGACATCAGAATTGTCCGGGTCTTCTCCTCCGCCTTCCCAGAGGGCGTTGCTGAAGCCGCTGCATGCCTGCACGACCGCGTGGCTGATGCCTTGTCTTTCTCTGATAGCGATGTTTTGTCAGAGTAATTTTTTCCTTTCTGTTTTTCTACAAAACAGAGCGGTTTATGTCCACTCTGATGCCCCAGGTTTCTCTGAAGTATCACGTTTGTTCCTGGTTTAGGACGCGGCACCTGTTTTCATTTTGCCAGGATCGATCGTGGGAGGGGATCGATGTGCCGCTTGTACAGTGTATTGGCGACATCGCCAATGCCTGGTATCCTTCTTTCGCTGAACTTCGAGAAGGTACAGTAAACGGGTACCCAAATTGGTGGCACCTGCAGCTCGCACGATCGATGTGCGTGGTGCATGCGTTAGGGTTGGCGGGAGAGCATATTGTCAAAATGAGGAATGATGATGTCATTGATGTTGGTTGGGGTACATATAACAAACCCTAACTTCTGTACCCCCTAAGACAAACCTCACTACAGGCTACAACATTTGACACACCCCCATATCCTAAGTGAGGGGTGTCTATCAAAATAAAAAAAAGAGTACGGTCACAAGACCAGTCCAAAAGAAAACAAAGCTCAGGGTGGATCACAACGTCACCACACTCTCTGAGCACAAGCAACAGTGGCCACAAGGCCAGTCCAAGAGATCACAAGTATATATAGCGGCGACCATCCACGCTCTGCCCTGATTGGCTGCGCGTTTAAGTGTAATGGCAGCTCCAACCTGCACGAGCCTGCAATTTCGATCCTGGCACCTATAGCTCGATGTGTCTACCCCACTGCAAATTTGCAGTGTGGGCACATCGGTGTGCCGATCGATATGCCAGGATCGATGTGAGGCCACGATCCTTGTAAAATGAAAACAGGTGCTGCGTCCTTAGGGTATGGCGTTCTCGCATATTTCAGACCCCATCCCCGCCAATCACCAACAGCTGAGATTTGAAGGGACGCGAGCTTCAATATCCACCGGGTTCTTCTCTGGTTGTGTTCGGACCGCGGCAAGAGTCCCTCGTTTTATTTGCGCTTCGGAATGTTTTGTCAGTGAAGTTTACGCTTCGTAAAAATTGCTCGACTCCGTAGATAATACATCTAGTAACGTAGCTTTTTAACAAAAATGTCTATATTCGAGTTTTAATATGCAGGTGTTTATTATATTGGGTCATTCACTTGTTCACACCAATTCTTTCAGCCATGCATCGACAATGGAGTACTTCATTGACAATGGCATCTAGTGGTCTATGAACTGCCTGCTGTATGACCATGGGATCATAATTTCTGCTCGTCCTGACAAGGTGGACTTTAGCTAGCATTGATGAAAAGATTGGGGCAGCTGTGGTGCTGAGAGGGGTGTTCTCCTTGTGTCATGGAGTCGGTTTTTACCACCAGCGGACAAGCAATAGTGGGCCATCCCACTGAAAACTGTTGGCAAATCTCATAACATCATGTGTATATACCGGTAAATCAATTTCTATGCCGGTATATCCGAGCAGGGTTTGCTTGCTTGATGTGATATGTTTATGTGGGCCTGATAGAAGACATGGTGCTACTCTGCACAATAGTGGGCATTTCACTGGAAAAAAAAAAAAAAACTGCTATGGGTGGAAATTCTGATTTGATATGATGCTACTCTGTGCAATAAAGCTGTTGGTGTAAGGGCAATCACTGATTCATGTCTTGGTGTGAGCAGCTATGGTACGAACAGCAATCCTGGGGACAGCAGTCCACTGGAAAACTGAGAAGGAGCAAGCAGTGAGACTTCTCCAAGCTAGTCAGCTTTTGGAGTGAGAGGTCATGGTACGCACAGCAATCCTGGTAGCAGCAGCCCACTGGAAAACCGAGGAGAAGGAGGAGGAGCAAGCAGCAGTGGGCTTGGCGCAACTCAGCTGGCAGGAGATCGGGTGAGAGGGAGCTTGACAGGCGCTGGTGGGAAGATTGATGCTGGCAAGACGGGCTTTGCTGACTGACAATGGTGGTGACGGTGATGGTGATGATGATGATGCACCAATACACGTGTTATAAGCTCCTCCTTTATCCATAACATAAGTATAAAAAGGTGCATCTGCGGAAGGGTCCACTTGAGAGGGACTCACGGGGTGTGACCTGGGGGGAGCAGCAGTAGCCGCTGATAATGCAGCTGCAGCAGGTGAAACAGGCGAAGCAGGTGTATCTGGGGGAGGGTGCACCTGCGTTTCTTCCAACAGCGTGGTTGGGAAGCTGTGGGACTGCCTTTTGTGGCGGCACTGGCAAGAGCAGCCATGTCGGTGGTGGTAGCAGTGGCAGCAGCACATGTGGTAACACTGCGCCCCCTGATCGCTATGATGCTGGTGATGGGGTTGGTGCTGGTGTTGGTGCTGCCATGCATGATTCCACGCATGCAGCTTGGCTCGAGCTGACTGCTCCTCTCCCATCATGCCACAATACCTCTTGCGATCATAAGGGGAGTATGTAGAGGGGGAGTGAGGGGAGGAGGCGTAAGAACGGGAGTAGTAAGGGAAAGTGGAGGGGGAGGGGGAGGGGGAGGGGGAGGGGGAGGGGGATGGAGAGGAGGAGGAAGAGGAGGCGCGTCTAGCTGGCGGCCGCGCGCCGGCGGTTGCTCGATTCCACATGGCCAGCCGAACCTCCAGGTTCGCAAACCGCTGTTGCTGCTGCGAACAGGTTCGGCTGCTAAAACTCGGGCTTGGAAGTTCCAGAGCGGCTTGATGGCGAGTGTCACCCGCTGGCGACGTCCAGGTTTGCAAACCGCTGCCGCTGCCGCTGCCGCTGCCGCTGCCGCTGCCGCTGCCGCTGCTGCTGCTGCCGCTGATGTCGGCGTAAGGTGACGTCATGATAGAAGTAGTAGTATTAGTCCTGAATCCGGATTCCAATCCAAGCCTGGGCCGATCGGAACAGTAGAGGCGTAAGCAGATCGGATGTACTGAAGGGTTAAAGGTTGGGCACGTGAACGAAATTTAGAGTCGCCGAGACAGAAGCCAAAAAGAAGTTATAATAAATAAATAAAATCCAGAAATTGGTCTGCAAGCTGAAAGCATGACAAATCGGTGCTGAAGGTGGAACCGATGGTAATAGTAGTGGTAGTCGCTCATAAGGTATCGGCGGTGATGATCGTCAGCAGTGGCACTCCGAGTCGATGCGAATATCGGGGGCTTGGTGGAAGTACTACTATGACTTTTTACACTCCGAGTCGCAGCCTGGTACTCGGCTAAAGGTCGAGTTTCTTAATGTCCGACGCGAAAGGAGAGGCCATTTTCTTGTCTCGTGATGATTTAGCGAAACTGAGGAAACTGTGTTGTGATGCTACGTAGTTATACTGCTTCATTAAAGGAAGAGGGAGCTCATGCTGTTACCGTGACAGATTATCCGTTGGGGCGATGGCAAACGGGGGAAGTGGGGGGGAGTTGGGGGAGTAAGTGGAGGGGGGGAGGGTGGGGGGGGATAACTCATCCCTTGGGAATATTTCCCCCCAGAGTCAGGAGAAAAAAGTGCAGAAGGACCAATCAAATGGCTTAAAAAAGAGTTAATGCGAAAATGGAGCCCCCGAAATGCGCGGAGCGGAGTCGCGGGAAAGCCCGCGTCTAACCGGATTTGTTCGGTCTTGATTGGAGTAGTCTACTCGACAGACGGCGATGACAGACGAATGCGGTGCTGTGGAAAGAAGTTTGAAAGGCGACAAAACAGGAGAGTGAACAAGGAGAGTGGGATGGGAAGGGTGGGGGGCGGCGTCGCTCCCGCAACGGTTGCGGAGAAGGGGGGTGGGCCTTTGGATCGTGATTAGTGAGGAGACAGACGGGAGAAGCCATGGCGAACAGAGGAGGCGAGGCGACATGGAGACTGACGATGAGTGGAGAGGAGGTACAGTACTGTATGACAAAGAAGAGGAGTGCGTCGTGTTACGGATGGGGAGGGGAGCCTTCAAGAAAGTGTTCAGACCAATTGCAATCAAGACTGGCGCTTTCCCGTGACTATGCAACATTTGGTGGTCGCCGATTCCGTCGGCTAGTAAGCACATCGAATCCTAGTAACTACGTTGGTATATGCCAACGGGTTGAAACTAATCAACTGTGCATCACCACGTGGATTTAGAAGCCGATGTAAATGGAAAATCCCGAGACGCCCTAAAGCAAACCGTTACAGTCGTGCTGTAATTCCATAGATTCCGGTCTAGAAGCTGCCAAGAAATCACAGATTTTTGACAATGTTCTGTCCCACGATTTTGTAGCAGCGGAAAAAAGGTTGTGAGACGTTGGCGTCTGGAAACATGGAGAGAAAGACGAAGTGAAATATGCAAGCAAGCTCGAGGTGAGAGGGGGAACTGACAAGACAAGGCTGCAGAGCAGATCGCTTGCGGAACAGAATGGCGGTGGAGTTGAAATGCTTCTGTGAAGCAGTATGGAATCAACTGGGAGAAATTTGAAGTTGTGGAGATCGGCATCCTAGCACAGGATCGTGAGAGCAACCACGTACCCACTCATATTTTTTAAGTTGTCCTAAAATGCCCAGACATAAATCGCATCCGTCTGGTATCCATCATCAAAAGCCTCATATGATGTGAAGTGGAAACACAGTGTGTACCGGAACCGAAATCAGATGACCTCGGAATGATACATTTTAGTTCCTGTCCCAGCCAAAACTGGAAACTCGTACACTCCCCCATGTAGCCCAGAGGTTAATAGCGTGGACCCAAACGGGTTTGATCGCCTCGGTCAGCCGCGTTCAATCAGGGGCAATCAGCTGATCGCGATCAGCTGATCTCACCAACTCGATCAGACCCAATTACCCCCCGATCATAGTCGATTCTCTTCGATCACCCACGATCAATTGATCGTGGGTGATCGGGGACCACAGCGATACTGACGAAAAGTTACACTGTATTACAAGGATTCGTCAACCCCTCACGAAGATGTCCAGCCTATACAGAACACCCTGGAAAGTTACACTATGTTACTTGGATACAGAGAGTTTCGCCAGAAGCCGTCTGGTCGCCAGTCTCGCTAAGATTGCCACGAAAATACCAGGTAATTAAATCCCGCTTGCTGAGCAGCCAAGAAAAATCTTCCAAGAAAAACATTACTGATCGAGCGGCTCGGGCATTGCGATCACAAGCAACCCGATAAGATCCGCCCCGATCAGATCAGTCGCGATCAAACCCATTTGGGCCCACGCCCTAAGTGTTCAAAGCGCACCACTTCCATCCGTCGCTCGAGAGCTTGGCCCAGACCTAGGCTGCCCCACTCGATGGATTTGACACGGGAGGGTGAATATCCTTCGACAGAACGGTTACCGCAAGTTACGGTTTCACTGTAATCCCTTAGTCGCGCTGGACTCTGCCTCCGCGCAGCGCCACCCCTTGTTTGGTCGTGTCATGTCCTCGTGTCGTGTCGACGTGTCGTTTCATGCTTTGTGTGACTCGTGGAGGGAAATGCAACGACGTTCGTGACTCGTGCCCGACACTGTGCAGTGCACATGAGAATGGACGAACGTACAGTACGTGGTCTCGTCATATCCATTCGTTTCATGTTGTCGTATCCTTCCTGGTATTGCGGTGGCCTTGGCCTCCTCCTCGTCACATCCATTCACTTGTTCAGAGTCCACTGACAAGTGGAAAGGTGAATCCGCTGTGAGCAAGTGTAGCAGGCGCTTCCCAGTACAATAGATGTCAGCCACAGTACAATATAATCAAAACAAAAGCACCACACAACCAACCTCGATAGCACATCATGTTCCCACCACAACCACGCTCTCCAAGCATCGAGTTAAGTTATTCGGCCTTGAACAAGGCCTAGACAATACACACTCCTATAATTGAATTACATGATTGTCAAACCCCGTCCTACTATCCTCCTCTCATTCCCCCCTCCCCCTCCCTTCCACCACTCATCTTCCCCCTGTCAACACACCTCACACCCTCCACTCACCCCTCCTCCTCCCCTGCACCCCCTCCTCTCCGTCTACCAGCCCTTCAATCAAAGCATCCACATCCAAGTTCAACCAGCCTCACCTCCACCTCCTTCTCCTCCTGCCCCAAACACACCAACAAATCATTCAGCTCCGTCTCACTCTCCCTTGCCCTCAGCGCTTCTTCTTTCCACTTATCCTCCACCTTCCCCTCATCCTCCTACCCTCCACCTTCGTCACCTCCTGCCCCAAAAACAACCAGTCAGCTCCGTCTCACTCTCCCTCGCCCTCAGCGCTTCTTCTCCTTCCACCTATCTTCCACTTGCCCCTCATCCTCCTACCCTCCACTCACCCCTCCTCCTCCTCCCCATCCCCCTTCTCTCCCTCCACTATTCCGTCCATCAAACCATCCACATCCTCCCCAAGTTCAACCAGCCTCCCTCTCAACCCATTTCAGCTTCTTGCCTCAAATGAAAATAACCCCTGGTCACCCCTCCTCCTCCTCCTCCCCGCTCCCCTCCTCTCCCTCCACTATTCCATCCATCAAAGCATCCACATCCTCCCCAAGTTCAACCAGCCTCCCTCTCAACACCTCCACCTTCTTCTCCTCTTGCCCCAAACACACCAGCAAATCATTCAATTCTGTCTCACTCTCCCGCTGAGCCTCCTCCCGAGCCTCCTGCCGAGCCGCTTCCACCCGCTCCTCCACCTCAGATTCGGGCACCACCGAGCCTGCTCCTGCACCTGCAGCACCGCCCGAACCTGCGGCTGCGGCAGCAGCTTCGGCCGAAGCTAGGCTGGCTCGGAGACTTTCAGTGGTGGATTGGAGGGTTTTGACCTCCCCTTCTAGTCTGAGATTCTCCTGCTCTAAACTGTGGTAGGCCATGGATAGAGCCTGCAAGTCTGCTTCTTTGCCTGCTGCCACTTGCCGAACCTGGAAGGGGGAGAGGGAGGGGGGCGAGGGAAGGAGAGGAAGGTAGGAAGTAGTGGTGAGTCGAAGGTTAATACCTCCCCTTCTAGTCTAAGATTCTCCTGCTCTAGACTGTGGTAGGCCATGGATAGAGCTTGCAGGTCTGCTTCTTTACCTGCTGCTACTTGCCGCACCTGGAAGGGGGAGAGGGAGGGGAGAGAGAGGGAGGGGAGAGAGAGGGAGGGGAGAGAGAGGGAGGGGAGAGAGAGGAAGGGAAAAGAAACAATGTCTAGGAGTGAGAAATGGGGTTGCAGTTTTGACCTCCCATTTCAAGGCTCTCTTGCTCTAAACTGATATGCCACAGGACAAGGGCAGGATGACTTCAGAGTCGACTCAAAAGTCAGTTAGACTGATTGTGCCATGGGGAAGTGGGGGTGTGGGTGTGGGTGTGGGTGTGGGTGGGTGGGCGGGTGGGAAAAGCCTCCAGGTCTGCTAACCTCTACCACCCACCCACCCACCCACACCAACACCCCCACTTCCCCCTGCCCTTGCTTCCCTCCCCCCCCCTCCCCCTCCCCCTTCACACACCCACCCACTCACCCACCATACACACCACCCTACCTGTATGTAGTGTCACATTTACGTGTCCTATACAAACACTAACCACCCTACACAACACAACACAACACAACACAACACAACACAACACAACACAACACAACACAACACAACACAACACAACACAACACAACACAACACAACACAACACAACACAACCACAACACAACACAACACAACACAACACAACACAACACAACACAACACAACACAACACAACACAACACAACACAACACAACACAACACAACACAACACAACACAACACAACACAACACAACCACAACACAACACAACACAACACAACACAACACAACACAACACAACACAACACAACACAACCACAACACAACACAACACAACACAACACAACACAACACAACACAACACAACACAACACAACCACAACACAACACAACACAACACAACACAACACAACCACAACACAACACAACACAGCACAACACAGAACAACACAGCACAACACAACACAACACAGAACAACACAACACAACACAACACAACACAACACAACACAACACAACACAACACAACACAACACAACACAACACAACACAACACAACACAACACAACACAACACAACACAACACAACACAACACAACACAACACAACACAACGCACACCACACACACCCTACCTGCATCAACTCGCCCAGAAGAGTCTCCGGCTCCCCTCTGAGTGTCGCCCCACTCGCCTCCGCCTCCGCCAGCTGGGCCACCACTAACCACTACCCCGCACACAGCAGGCACACATTCCTGCATCAACTCGCCCATAAGCGTCTCCTGCTCCCGTCTGAGCGTCGACTTTTGAGTCGACTCAAAAGTCGAATCAAAAGTAAAGTCGACTCAAAAGTCGAATCAAAAGTAAAGTTGACTCAAAAGTCGAATCAAAAGTAAAGTCGACTCAAAAGTCGAATCAAAAGTTGAGTCGACTCCAAAGTCACCAACCCCACCTGCATAAGTTCTCCCATGAGTGTCTCTTGCTCCCCTCGAAGCGTCGCCACGCTCCCTTCCGCCTCCGCCAGCTGGCGCCGGGCGGATTCCAGCTCAGCGTGAGTTGGCGCTGCGCCGGCGCCGCCCGCGCCGTCCGCTGACGTGGCGGCCTGTGACTGGTCGCTGGCACCGGTGTCAGAGGAGGGGGATTGTGGAGCGAGTTGCATGGCGTCTTTCGCAAGGGCCACGTTGCGACTGCGCAGGTGCTGTGGGGGGAGGGAGGAAGGGGAGTTTGGTGGGAGTTGAGGTGCATCGCATCCCTTGCGAGGGCCACGTTGTGACTGTGCAGGTGCTGTGGGGGGGAAGAGAAAGGGAGAGGGAGGTGCATGAGGAGCCAGATGGGTGCAAAAGTAGTTACGTGGAGCTGCAGATGGTTTCAAGTGGCTATGACAGGAGTGGAATGCGGTGAAAAGGCTAGAGGGGAACCCTACCTGAAGCTCCTGATGCTGCGACTGAAGCATTGCTCTCAGCCTCCCTGCATACTCCCCCTCACTCTCTCCATCCTTTCGGTTCACATCCATGCTTCCCTCTCCCCCTCCTCCCCCCTCCCCACCCCCGCCTCTCGGCATCGAAAACAGCTGCACCACTCTCAATCGCACTGCCTCCTCCAGCACCAGCACCGATCGCACAAACTCGCGATCATAAAACGAGGCAATGGGCGGCTCGAAATCCAGACTTGATGCGCTAGGAACAGCTGGCACGCGACTTGCTGCTGCTGCAAGCCCAGCACCAGCAGAAGAGGTGGCAGCAGAGCCTGCCCCACCTTCCTCTGTCATCTCACTGTGTTTGCTACCGCTGCTGCTGCCGCCCCCTTCCCCAGACTTACCCACCCCTGCTCCACCCGCCCCGCCTCCCCCACCCCCACCTGCTGCCTCTGCAGCAGCAGTGGTTCTCGTAAGGGGTTTCGGCGACCGCGGTCCCGCCCCCCCTGCAAGGAAGTACGGGTCCCGCTTCAAGTCCTCTATACGGGCAAAGAAAGCAGCCAGGCCGATGCGCTGCGTGATGATATCCACCACTGTGGCGGCGTCTGTGGGGCCTGTGTTGTCGTTGAAAACCACGCAGGCGCCTAGGACGAGAGAGGCTAGTCCTCCTACATGCACCGCCACCCCCCCTCCTGCTCCTCCTGCTGCTCCTGCTGCCTCGTCTGCCCCTCTCCCGTCGACCTCTCCCCCCACTCCTCCTCCGCTTCGTTTCCGGTCACCTGCTGCGTCATACCCGTCAGAATACCCATCCCCGTACCCTCCTCCACGGCTTGATCCCCCGTGTTCCTCCCCGTCCTCTCCCGTGCCGCCACCTGGCAGCGCGGCGGCTGCTGCTGCTGAGCTGGCGGCGCTGACGAGGCCGACGAGGAACGGCAGGTGGCCGGGCGGCGCGAGGAAGGCCGCGACAGCTGGCGGGCAGTCGGAGAGCCACGTCAGCAGCAGGCGGAGCAGCACGGGTTGAAGCCAGACGGCCGACGGGGAGGAGGAGGAGGAGGAAGAGGAGGGGGAGGAGGAGAAGGAGGAAAACGACGAGGCGAACGAGGAGTAGAGGGAGTGGGAAGAGGAAGATTGGTGGTGCGAGTGCGGGTGTGAGGAAGTGGGAAGGGGGGGAGAGGGAGGGGCGGCGGCGGCAGCGAGGTAACGCATGATGCGGGGCATGAGGAGTTCAGGAGGGGCGAGGGCGGAGGTGGGGATCTGCAAGGGGATGCGCAGCACTCGCTCTTTTGCTGCTGAGTTGCCCGTGAGGAGGTGTGAGAGCACGCTGGCTGCCCTGCAGCTGGCTTCTAGGGCTTGCTCGCTCTGCCCTGCTATCAGCGCCTGCACCAAGATGCTGGGAGGGAAAGGGGGAATGGGGGGAAAGGAAGGACAAATTTGACCTCCTGGAGAGAAGGGGTGGGAATCTGCAGAGGTGGGGATGTGCAAGGGGATGCGCAGCACTCGCTCTTTTGCCGCTGAGTTGCCCGTGAGGAGGTGTGAGAGCACGCTGGCTGCCCTGCAGCTTGCTTCTAAAGCCTGCTCGCTCTGCCCCGCTATGAGTGCTGGTAGAGCGGGCAGGACCAAGATGCTGGTAGACCATGGGGGAGGAAGGGGGGGGGAATGAGGGAGGAACGAAGGGAGTTGGCGGTGAGTGAGGAGGTGCGACAACACACTCGCAGCCCGGCAGCTCCCCTCCAAGCCTCGCTCGTTCTGCCTCGCTCGTTCTGCCTCGCTCGTTCTGCCTCGCTCGTTCTGCCTCGCTCGTTCTACCCCGCTAGCAGTGCTTGCAGAAAGATGCCCCACTTTGTTTTATTCCAGAACAGGCTTCACGTTTTGAGTCGACTCAAAACACGCTAGCAGTGCTTGCAGAAAAATGCCCCACTTTTTTTTATTCCAGAACAGGCTTCACCAGACTTGACGTCGCAATTCTCCACACATCATCACACTCACCCTCACCATGCTCCATGCACCACCACAGTCCATGCATCACCTCACCACCATCCATGCATCACCACCGTCCATGCATCACCACCGTCCATGCATCACCACCGTCCATGCATCACCACCGTCCATGCATCACCACCGTCCATGCATCACCACACCACACCCACCCTCCAAACGTCAGGTTTGCCGTATCATCAGCCGCATAGGCCCCATTGCTCCTCCTCCTCCCCCTCCTTGCCTGCGACACTCACTCACCCTCCAAAGGTAAGGTTTGCCACATCAGCCCCCATTGCTGCTGCTCCTCCACTCTTGCCCTTGCCCACCATCAAACTCACCCTCACCATGCTCCATCCATCACAATCACTCACCCTCCAAACGTCAGGTTCGCTGCATCATCAGCCGCATCAGCCCCCATTGCACCTCCTGCTCCCCCTCCTTTATCCCCATCGTCTCATGCATCATCATCAGCTAAATTGCCCTTACTCGTCACCACACTCACCCTCACCATGCCCCATGCATCACCACACTCACCCTCACTCACCATGCTCCACGCATCATCACTCTCACCATGCTCCATGCACCCCACTCACTCACCCTCCGAACGTCAAGTTTGCCGCATCATCAGCCGCGTCAGGCCCCATTGCACCTCCTCCTCGCTTGCCCTTGCCCGCGACACCTTGCGGCAGGGGTGTGATGGTGGAGGCCAGCATGGTCTGCCCCTCGCTGTTGCCCTGCAGGAGAGGAAGGGAGGGGGCAAGTGAAGAAGAGAAAGGAGGAATGGTGAGGTAACTCTGTGATGCCTTGAGGCAGGGGAGTGATGGTGGACGCTAGCATGGTCGGCCCCTTGCTGTTGCCCTGCAGACGGACAAAAAGGTGGGCAGAGGTGGAAGGAGGAAGGAGGAGAGGAGGGAGGAAGCAGGTGAGATCCGAGAGCTCTCTTTCCCTCCAAATCCCCTTCCCCATCAACTCTGAAACCCCCCCCTCTCCCGTCCCCCTCCACACATGCACCTCACAGAAGCATCGGATGGCATAGTCAGCAGCAGAGCTCTCCCTCATCGTATGCACCCACCCATCTCCTCCCCCACCCATCGTACGCCTTGACACAGTGCAGCGCCGGCTCCATCTCCTCCCCCACCCTGCTGCATGTCATCCCCCCACCCCCCATCCCCTAGTTGGTATCCCCCTCTTCCCCCCTCCCCCACACACGCACCTCACAGAAGCATCGGATGACATAGTCAGCAGCAGAGCTCTCCCTCATGGTACTCGCTCTCAGAGCCACCCGCAGCACACAGTGCAACGCCGGCTCCATCTCCTCCCCCACCCCCCTCAACAACTCCTCCTCCTCCTCTCCATCCTCCTCCTCTCCCCACCCACCCTCCCCTCCTCCTCCCCCTCCCCTCCTCCCTTTCCTCGGCCCCCACCCAGCATCCCGATACAGAAACGTGGTCGGATCAGACCTGCTAATCAGCTTACTCCCCAGCTCCTCCCGATTCGCTGCATGCCCCAGCACCAACCCTCCCAACGCCTTCAGCGCTTGCGTCCGAATCGCTGAAGAGTTTACTAGTGGGTCGAAGGCTAGAGCCAGCAGAGAGTCCATGAGCTTTGCATGGCCTAGCAAAGTCTGGTTTGCGATCAGGTTAGTGTCGTCTTTCAGGGTGGCCGCGTGGGGGTTTCGGGCGAGCAGCAGAGCGACTGTTTCGAGCCCACAGAGGAGATTCGCTGCCTTCTGCCGGGTCAGAGGCTCAGTTCTCTCTAAATTGCTACTGCTACTGCCGCCGCCGCCGCCGCCGCTGCCGCTGCCACTGTTGGTATTCTCGTCGCTGCTGCTGGTGGTGCTGGTGCTGTTGCTGCCGGCAGCAGCAGCAGTGGTGGCGTATTTTCGGAGGGAGAGGAGCAGAGCGGGGATGCGGGACAGGCCGAGGGTTTCCCGGAGGAAGATTTGATTCGATACGTTGGAGCGGAGGAGGTTGTTGATGAGCTCGATGCAGTCCTGAACTACGATGCCCCCATCCGCCCCCCCCTCGTCTCGGATGATGTTGAGCGCTCTCTCAAAGGCGCCCTCGAATACCACTATCTTTTGAATCTCCTGTTGAAAAGGAGAGAGGGAGAGAGGGACAAGAGGTGGGAAGGGGTGGAGAGGGGTGAGGCGGGCAGTGGAGCGGAGGAGAGGAGGAGGTTGTTGATGAGCTCGATGCAGTCCTGAACTACGATGCCCCCATCCGCCCCTCCCTCATCTCGAATGATGTTGAGTGCTCGCTCGAATGCCCCTTGAAACACCAAAATCTTTTGAATCTCCTGGAGAAGAGAAGAGAGGGGGAGGTAAAGAACGGGGAAAACGGGGAGAGAGGGGGAACCGGAGCGAGAAGGAGACAGGAGGAGAAGGCGAGAGAGAGGGAGACACCGGGGGGAAGGGGTGGAGAGAGAGTGGAGCGGAGTGGGGGATGGGGTAGAGCGGAGGAGGTCGGTGATGAGGTGAATACAGCCCTGCACCACCATCCGCCCCAGTGCGCATGGTGCGTTGAATGTGCACAGTACACATACAGCCCTGCACCACCATCCGCCCCAGTGCGCATGGTGCGTTGAACGTGCACAGTCACATACAGCCCACATTGAGGTCACTTTTGAGTCGACTCCAAAGCCGCCCCAGTGTGCATGGTGCGTTGAATGTGCACAGTATACATACAGTTCACATTCAACGTACCTCAGCGAAGTTGTGAGGTTGATCATGATCACGAGAGCCTCCGTGTGTGTGTGCCTCCTTGGCCCCATCAGTTCTGACTTGGGCTACAATAATCACACACACACAGTGTAGAGCAGTGCGCTCGGTGCACAGCACAATGCACAATGCACAGTGCACGGTGCACGGTGAACCGGTCCACATCAACCCATCAGTTCTGACTTGGCTACTATACACACACACACACACACACACACACACACACACACACACACACACACACACACACACACACACACACACACACACACACACACACACACACACACACACACACACACACACACACACACACACACACACACACACACACACACACACACACACACACACACACACACACACACACACACACACACACACACACACACACACACACACACACACACACACACACACACACACACACACACACACACACACACACACACACACACACACACACACACACACACACACACACACACACACACACACACACACACACACACACACACACACACACACACACACACACACACACACACACACACACACACACACACACACACACACACACACACACACACACACACACACACACACACACACACACACACACACACACACACACACACACACACACACACACACACACACACACACACACACACACACACACACACACACACACACACACACACACACACACACACACACACACACACACACACACACACACACACACACACACACACACACACACACACACACACACACACACACACACACACACACACACACACACACACACACACACACACACACACACACACACACACACACACACACACACACACACACACACACACACACACACACACACACACACACACACACACACACACACACACACACACACACACACACACACACACACACACACACACACACACACACACACACACACACACACACACACACACACACACACACACACACACACACACACACACACACACACACACACACACACACACACACACACACACACACACACACACACACACACACACACACACACACACACACACACACACACACACACACACACACACACACACACACACACACACACACACACACACACACACACACACACACACACACACACACACACACACACACACACACACACACACACACACACACACACACACACACACACACACACACACACACACACACACACACACACACACACACACACACACACACACACACACACACACACACACACACACACACACACACACACACACACACACACACACACACACACACACACACACACACACACACACACACACACACACACACACACACACACACACACACACACACACACACACACACACACACACACACACACACACACACACACACACACACACACACACACACACACACACACACACACACACACACACACACACACACACACACACACACACACACACACACACACACACACACACACACACACACACACACACACACACACACACACACACACACACACACACACACACACACACACACACACACACACACACACACACACACACACACACACACACACACACACACACACACACACACACACACACACCACACACACACACACACACACACACACACACACACACACACACACACACACACACACACACACACACACACACACACACACACACACACACACACACACACACACACACACACACACACACACACACACACACACACACACACACACACACACACACACACACACACACACACACACACACACACACACACACACACACACACACACACACACACACACACACACACACACACACACACACACACACACACACACACACACACACACACACACACACACACACACACACACACACACACACACACACACACACACACACACACACACACACACACACACACACACACACACACACACACACACACACACACACACACACACACACACACACACACACACACACACACACACACACACACACACACACACACACACACACACACACACACACACACACACACACACACACACACACACACACACACACACACACACACACACACACACACACACACACACACACATTGTAGAGCAGTGCGCTCGGTGCACAGCACAATGCACAGCGCACGGTGAACGGTCCACATTCAACGTACCTCGGCGGAGCATGTGAGGTTGATCATGAGAACGAGTGCCTCGTTGCAGCATGCCTCCACCCTCCCCCCACCCTGCCCCCCACCAGCGTGCATAGTGCACCGTCCACATTCAACGTACCTCGGCGGAGCGTGTGAGGTTGATCATGAGAACCAGAGCCTCGTTGCGAATCACCTGATCATGCCATGCCATGCCATGCCATGCCATGCCATGCCATGCCATGCCATGCCATGCCATGCCATGCCATGCCATGCCATGCCATGCCATGCCATGCCATGGCAAGTTGACAAAAATATCACCATGCCGTGACATTCCACACCAAGCCATCCATGACATGCCATGCAATGCAACCAGCCATGACATGCCATGCAATGCAACCAGCCATGACATGCCATGCAATGCAACCAGCCATGACATGCCATGCAATGCAACCGGCCATGACATGCCATGCAATGCAACCAGCCATGACATGCCATGCAATGCAATCAGCCATGACATGCCAAGCAATGCAATCAGCCATGACATGCCATGCAATGCAATCAGCCATGCCATGCCATGCAATACAACCAGCCATGACATGCCATGCAATGCAATCAGCCATGACATGCCATGCAATGCAACCAGCCATGACATGCCATGCAATGCAATCAGCCATGACATGCCATGCAATGCAATCAGCCATGACATGCTATGCAATGCAATCAGCCATGCCATGCCATGCAATGCAACCAGCCATGACATGCCATGCAATGCAATCAGCCATGACATGCCATGCAATGCAATCAGCCATGACATGCCATGCAATGCAATCAGCCATGACATGCCATGCAATGCAATCAGCCATGACATGCCATAGCATGCAATGCCATGCCATGCAATGCAATCAGCCATGCCGTGCCATAGCATGCAATGCTATGCTATGCAATGCAACGCAATACGAGCAGCATGGCGCAATCAGACACACACAATTTCAGAGCTATCACATGCATTGCTAGTAATCTTAAAAGGCGAAAAAATAAAGTGTCATTGGTTTCTTTCAATAAGGAAAAAGAGCAGCATAAGGGTAATTTGGAAGGGGGAGGATGTTGAGTATGGACGTCTCAACAGAAGAATGCAAGCGACAGCTGGTAAAAAGAAAAGAAGAGCGTTGAGTAAGGGTTGGGAGGGAAAGGGGGCGGGAACGCAGGGTGGAAAGGGCGGGTGGACGGGAAAGGGGGCAGGGGTGGGGGGCGAGGGTTGAACAGTGAAATGGAAAACGAGCATACAGGAACAGAAAGAGGCAATTCCACAGAAACAGAGCAGCAGTTCTGCCTGCCTGTCGCCCAACTCCCTCTCGCTCAGCGCCATCATATCCGTGAGCCGCCCTACGCCCCAAGCCCCACAACCCCAGTCCCACACTCCCAGTCCCACACTCCCAGCCCCACACCCAAAGAGCTGTGGGCCCTGGGCTCGTGACCTCTCCCCACACTGCCTCACCTCCCTCTCATTGAGTGCCATCATATCCATGAGCCGCCCCACGCCCTGTGGGATCACCAGAATTGCCTCCTGTAACCTGCCATGCGCCATCCCACGTACCATAACACGTGCCATGCCATGCAACCATGCCATGTCATCACAAGGCCGAACCAATCAAACAGAACACACGCCATGTCAGCACAAATGCCATGTCAGCGCACATGTCAGCCCAGACGCAGGCCAGGAAATGACATTACCATGCAAACACACACAGAAGGGGCGCCTCACAGGGGGATGCTGGATGTGAATACAAAGGCAACGACTTGCTCGTGTTCTGCAAACCTTTCTTCGACTGAAAAAGCGTCCCCAGCACACTAGGTGTCTGAGCAGGAAACCACAGGTGAGAGCACTTTCAACGGCGTCTCAATACAGAAAGTATGCTTGCGTGCCCCTGCCGCACCTGTGCGGGCAGTTGAGGAGGTGACTTATGAGTCGACTAAAAAGCCACAGGTGAGCTGAGGCCACTTCAGAGGCGCTCAAAACAGAAAGTATGTTTGCGTGCCCCTGCCTCACCTGTGAGGGCAGTTGGAGAGGAGAATGGTCAGCAGCTGTACGGTGTGGTAGCGAATATAGAAATCCTCCTCCTCCTGTTGGAAATAGGATAGGAGTGATTCGGGTAGAAAGAGGGGGGGACGGAGAGAAGGCCGCCAACAAGGAGAGGAAGAGAGGAGGATGGTGAGAGCAGCGGCACAGTGTGGTAGCGAATATAGAAATCCTCCTCCTCCTGTTGAAGATGAGTGTGTGTTTCGTTGGTGGGAGGGGGGAAAGATAGCGCGACAAAGAGAGGAGGATGGTGAGAGCAGCGGCACAGTGTGGTGGTAGCGAATGTAAATATGATCATCCTCCTGTTGAAGATAGGTGTGTGGCTTATGGGGAAAGAAGGATGAAGGGGAAGAAGGATGAAGGGGAAGAAGGATGAAGGGAGAGATATGATGGACCAAAAAGGTGGAGAACGGAGGAGAGGTGGATGATCAACAGGCGTGTAATCATGCGTCCTCTGCTTTCTCCTCGTTCCCCTCCCCTTTCCCAAGCTACTCTCCCCCCTCCCTTGCTCCTCTTCCCCTTCCCTCACTCCTCTCCCCCCTCCCTTGCTCCTCTTCCCCCTCCCTCGCTCCTCTCCCCCCTTCCTCGCTCCTCTCCCCCCTCCCTCATCCCCTCCCTCCCCCCCCCCCACATCACATCCACTCATCAGCAGCGCCAGCAGAAAGGCAATGCTGCGCGGCTCGCGAGCAAAGAGCTCCGAGTTGATCGCCCCTGGTGCCACCCGCTGCTGCTGCTTCCCTGCCCTGCCATGCCCCCACCTTTCTGCCATACCCGCCCCCTTCCCCTCCCCCGTGCTGCCTCCCCCAGACTCTTCCCCCCTTTGCCTACCTGACCGCACTCCCTTACTCGCACACCTCTCACCCTAACGACTCGCGAGCAGCGCCAGCAGCAGGGCGATGCTGTGCGGCTCGCGAGCAAAGAGCTCCGAGTTGAGTTGATCGCCCCTGGAGGGCGCCACCAGCAGCTGCTGTCTCGCCAGGACGTCCCCATGCCATGCTCCCCTGCTAGGCAGCATCTTCCTTTCTTGCTCCCCCCACTAACCAGCATCTACACCCCCCACACAAATGCACTCACCAGTAGAGCCAGCAGCAAGGCGATGCTGTGCGGCTCGCGCGCAAAGAGCTCCGAATTGATCACCCCTGGCGCCACCCGCTGCTGCTGTCTACCCACGCCCCTGCTCCTTGTGATGCCCTGCCCCCCCCCACCCGTGTTGCCCTGCCAGCTCACCCATCCCTATGCTGCGACTCACCAGCAGCGCCAGCAGTAGAGCAATGCTGTGCGGCTCGCGCGCAAAGAGCTCCGAGTTGATCACCCCTGGCGCCACCCGCTGCTGCTGCTGCCCCCACTCCCTCTCCCTCTGCTCCGCGCCCCCTCCTCCTGCCCCTGCTGCCAGCCCTGCCACCAGCACCTCTAACGCTCCCCGAATCTGATTGGAAAAGGGAACGGGCATGAGGGATAGCGGTATAAATCAGCGCCATAAGCAAGGCTGCTCCTCTGCTCCACGCCCCCTCCTCCTGCCCCTGCTGCCAGCCCTGCCACCAGCACCTCTAGCGCTCCCCGAATGTGAAAGAAAATAGAGAAAGATGGTGCAATTAAGAACACAATTGGGGGAAAAAAGTGAGATGTCAGAATCGAAACGAAGGTGATAGAGGGAAAGGGATAGGGTCTAGGGAATGGGGAATGGAGGAAGGGGATGGGGGAAGGCGGAAGGGGATGGTTGAGACCCATCTGAAGGAGCAAAGGAATGGGGAGAGCAAAAGGCATTCATTGCTCATTGTTCTCCTCCATCGCTCTTTCTTTCTCCTTCTCTCACTTGTTTACAGGCTTCTTTGCTGTCTCTCCCATCACTCACTTGCCCTCCTATCCCCTCACTCCTCTCAGTCCCCCTCGCCCGCTCACTCAATCACTCACAAACTCACTCACTCACTCACTCACTCACTCACTCACTCCTTCCTTCATTCCCCCACTCACCAGATCCACGTCTTCTCGGTCCTCCCGCAGAACAGATAGAAGCACAGGGATACCTGCCACATCACACGCACACGCAAGCACATGCGCAAGCAAGCACAAAAACGCGCACACACATGCACACACATGCACACACATGCACACACAGATTCACGGACAAGCACACGCAGGCACACGGAGGCACACGCAGGCACACGGAGGCACACGCAGGCACACGGAGGCACACGCAGGCACACGCAGGCACACGGAGGCACACGCAGGCACACGGAGGCACACGCAGGCACACGGAGGCACACGCAGGCACACGCAGGCACACGGAGGCACACGCAGGCACACGGAGGCACACGCAGGCACACGCAGGCACACGCAGGCACACGCAGGCACACGCAGGCACACGCAGGCACACGCAGGCACACGGAGGCACACGCAGGCACACGGAGGCACACGCAGGCACACGGAGGCACACGCAGGCACACGGAGGCACACGCAGGCACACGGAGGCACACGCAGGCACACGGAGGCACACGCAGGCACACGGAGGCACACGCAGGCACACGGAGGCACACGCAGGCACACGGAGGCACACGCAGGCACACGGAGGCACACGCAGGCACACGGAGGCACACGCAGGCACACGGAGGCACACGCAGGCACTCGGAGGCACACGCAGGCACACGGAGGCACACGCAGGCACACGGAGGCACACGCAGGCACACGCAGGCATACGCAGGCACACGCAGGCACACGCAGGCACACGCAGGCACACGCAGGCACACGGAGGCACACGCAGGCACACGCAGGCACACGCAGGCACACGCAGGCACACGCAGGCACACGGAGGCACACGCAGGCACACGGAGGCACACGCAGGCACACGCAGGCACACGCAGGCACACGCAGGCACACGCAGGCACACGCAGGCACACGCAGGCACACGAACATGCAAGCAAGACACGGGACTCAGCGATGGGTCGCTCGTTACAGATGAGAGCGGTTCGCTCGTTACTGCACAGCAGAAAAGGGCACTCTCCCGTTGCACGGAAACAGCTCTCATCTCACCATGTGAGACTGTGTGCGATCTGATGGCCTAGGCGACATGGCTGTAAGTGCGACTGGCTGTCTATGCGAGTGATGTCTGTGCGACTTGATGTCTGTGCGACTTGATGTCTGTGCGACGCCTGTGCGACACGCACTCACCCATGGCTCCCAGCGCCTGCTGTGCGACAGGGCTGTCCGTGACGACGTCGCGCAGGTCGGCCATGGCGGACTGGCGATCCTCTGCGAGCACCCCATTGCTGATGCGATCAAGCAGCCGCTCCACTCCGCTGTTGACGCGTACGAAGTGTATTGTTGCATACGTGCAGCGGCGAATTAGGGCAAGGACAAAAAACGAGAAAACTTCGAAAAAGGATGACCTTGAATTGGCAGCACGGATCGCCACGCAAGCATGAATCGTAAGCAGACACAATCCAGGAACAAACTAAGAGCCTAATGCGAACTAATCGTATAGAAGTCAACAATGAGATTCATTCCGTCGCACGGCATCGCACGACGCGTCGCAGGCCGTCGCTTACCCGTCGTCTTCCTGGTCGTCGCCGCTTCCGAACACGAGCCCTCCCACCCCCTGCGCGACGGCGCCCAGATTTAACCGCCCGAGCTTAAACGCCATGGCCGATCGACGTATTTAATTACTCCGAGAAACTCTACTATTGAGATCACCGAATCTGACACCTAGCTAAGACTAGGAGTGTAAGAACGCTACATACGAATGATGTCTACAGTATCTCAGTTGGAGATTCGGCAACAACCGGCAAAGGCCAAAGCTGCTAAAGCTGAAGCTGAGTCTGAGTGCTCGTCGCAGGATTGATAGACGGACTCTGAAACAACTCAATCAAAACTCGATAGATAGACGGACCGACGAAGGATACTTCGGCCTATTGTCTTGATTCTGGAGAAATTTCTCTAAAAAAATCACGAGATTTCGTGAAAGAACGAGCCACGTGGCTCGAAACGAGTGGGAAAGAAGTGAGCGCTTAAGCTTTTGGAAGCCGACGCAGAAGCGACTGCGATCGGATAGATATTCCTCCCTCCACAACGAATACCATCCAGGAGAGCAACGGAGTATGGCGGTAGCACAAGTCGCTGCAGAAAGCTGATGAGGTGAACTATGACGGACTATGCGCGAATATCTGACAATGCCCGCGATTCGCGGAGCGGCTAGGCGGCAGCGGTGGTAGCCTTGGGATTGGTGTGAAAAGGAGGAACGCGTTCGATGGAGCGGCTGCTGGGCTTAGCGCGCTTCTTCAGAGCCAGACCCGAGTCTATGCGTTACGACGTTGACCCATCATTTGGTGTAGCTATGCCAATTAGAGGATATATTACATTTATAGTCTCTAGCTTTTATTTTCATCCTACAGTGACACTCACAGACAAGACGGTAGGTTAAACAAGCTGTAAGAACATAATTACCAAATACCAAACTCAGCAACACGCTTCATTGCACTCTAGGGACAACAGTAGCACAAATGTTCATATATTTGGAATGACATTATGGCAGGCAGGCTGGCATCCGTCCCACTGTGCCAGCATGCATTCTGCTGATAGCCTGACTAATTGACATCCATTTGTTTTGCGTTGGCCTGTCCTGCCATTGTGTTGGCAGCTCCTGCACTCACACAAGAGTGGCTATTTTTGAAACGTCAGCCCTGCTCTCCACCCCTTCTCTCCCTTTCACCCATTCTACCCTCGCCTCCCCGCCGCCTCTTCCATCATGAAAGCACCATGAGCATAAAGCAATAAGATTATTGATTGAATGCCTAGGTTGCGCAGTCTGCCAGCAAAACGAAAACCTTTGCCATTACTGGAAAATCCGCCGGTAAGCCCCTTCCGAGACCTCTCAATGCTACGAAATTACCCCTCAAACGGCTCAAAATACTTCCTATCCAACAGAAAAGCGCCATGGCCGAACCGAATCGCCCATGTGTCCTTCGGCCGGCGGTCCATAATCCTCCCTGCGTCCCCCACTCTGATAATCCCGTCGTTTCGCCGAAGCATTGGCATAGGTTCGGCAGACTTCACGAACGGAGGCTCGGCTACAATAACTACAGCGGTTCCGCTCTGAAGCACTATGTTGCTGCTGCTACCGCCGCTTCCTTCGCCGTCGGATCCGCTAGGGGATGCCCCGTCAGCAGCTGCCAGGGCTAAGACACGTGCGCGCACGTGGCTTGCGCAGCATTGTGATTGGCTGGCGACGCGAATCACGCTAAGCGGGGATGCTCCAGCTTGATGATGACTGTATGCGGACGAAATCGACGGTGGCGATTGTCTTAGGGACGTGAAGCGTGAAGATGCCGGGTACTGGCAAGCTGCAGCTACTATAAAAGGAAGATGAGCCGCCATGGGATCAACACTTATATTTTCTTCTCAGGAGAATGACACCTTCACTCCGACTATCCGCTCACTAAAAACGGGAACTTGAAGATCAAGTTCCAGCAGGCCACGATGCATGCACCCTTACAGGGCGAAGTCTGAGTTCGGTAAAACTTGTAAATTTCTATGTCCAATGCTATTCCATTGAAATGTACAAAAATTCGAAGTAAATGTATCAAATGTGCTATCGTCCGTCTCCCACAAGATTTAGTAAGTTCTCTGAAATTACCAACGAGAAAGAATGAAGCAATTTTCTTCTTAGTGGAAGATTAACTATATTCTCATTTGCACCATATTCAGTGAAATGTTATACTTACATAATGGTATCATTCAACAAACTGTATATTGCTTTGTTGCCAAATTGCAGGCTCATACCCATCCCCAAGACGCGTCGCGTTTCCCTCGTCAGCTGGGACGATGTCCTCCGCTTCGCCCCGCTTCCGAGCCGACAGCTGGGCCTGTCTGGCATTTCCGAAGCTACAATCCACGTCAATTCCACCACCGAGCCATGCCTACAACAACCGCTGGAGTCTCTCAAGCAAGCTATACGTCTCGAACCTCCTTACTAGGTTCGTTTCACCCCGCGTCGCTGGTTTGCCTCGCCTATTTCACCTTCCCCAGCCAGGCCGATTTGGTGCGCCTCGGAAAGAAAGGGCCAAATTGCGGCGGAGGGGGCAGATTGCATTCGAGGGGGATGAAATTGCAGTCGTCGTGGTGAGGTGATGTGATGTGATGTGATGGACGGGAGTGTGCTAGTCTGAGTTCAAACTCGCTTCCTCCGCCCGACTCCACACAGACAGCAAGCAATACATGCCATGTGTGTGACTGCGTCCGGACTGGACTTACATGTTTCGTTCTGCGAGATTCCGCAGCATTCATTTACTCAGTTTATAGATTCAAGCTCCCTTGCGTCTATCGTTAGCTCAATCTCTGAACTTGCCTTCATAACGCACGCCCCACGGAGCAAAATTCGCACCAGCCTGCAGCAGACTTCCATTGCGTCTACCTCCGCTCTGGTATAATCCGCGTTACGCTAGGTCGCCTTCTTCAACAGGAGTATAAGCAGGGTCTCTGGAGAAACGTTGCAACCACACGAAAAGAATACGAGTGCATATTAAAAGCCGAGGCCATGGCCTCTCGCGTTCCTGCGTCGCAAGTCATTGGGGTTCTTCTCATCGCGCTGCTGCTGCGGCCCCATTACTCCCATGCCCAAGGTGAGTCCTCGCACCACTTGCGAGGCGCATCGCAGCATGGTTCTCTAAGGAATATGCATGCGTTTGTTTGACTCCTTTTGCGCCCCTTTCACACGTGCGGCGTATGGAGCCACGGAAAGCAGCAACGTACGGAGCCACGACCTAGGACGCCGTTTGCGAAGGAGCGCTGTCATATTGAATCCACACTGCCTTCAAGATTAACTTTCCATTAATAACACCTCCTTCGCATGCTGCTTGCGCAGAGTCGATAAAAGGCGTCGCGCTCATCAGGGGCGCGTCAGGGGAACTGGCCCCGCAGAGTGCAACAGTGTAAGGCATTTTCCTGCCTCGGCCTTCCGTTTCCGTCGATTTCCTCTTGCAAGTTCTTTCAAAGCCAGATCTCTCTACTCGACTCGAAAATTGCTCCACGCAGATTCAGTTTTATGCTGATTGCGGTATGCCATATTCTCCCCGTCGTAGAAGTCACATTTTCACCATGTCGCCACCTGCATTCCCATTAGAGTTTACTGCATTTCCCGCGTTTCACTCGATCGAGTTTTCGGGTCCCACTTTGAACATTCCCCTTGCTTCGTTCCACCTCTCTCCCGCAATATCCTTCCGCCCACACCAGAGCCGCTGCCACGTCATCACAAACGAACACCTTCGATCCTGCAACGGCGGACGCCGTGGCGGCGGAGGCGGCGGCGGCGGCGAAGAGGTCGCGCGCGCCTTTGCGATACAGTCGCAAGGAAGTGATCTCGTCGTTCAACAAGGCGGCGCACCTCCTGCGACTCTCCGCGAATAGCTTGACGCAAACGTCCCCGTGAGTTTCATCCTCCTCATCCTTCCGTACCATCCTCCCGAGTTCTTTCTGTTTTTCCTCCCTCTCCACCCACCTCTCCCGTCCCTCATTTCAACTCTCACCTCCCCACTCATCCAACCCCTCGCTCACCCCCTTGCCCCTCCTTACACGAGGCATTTCTCGCGCCTGTTCACGACAATGCAGGCGTTTCGCAACGCAGTGGCGCTGGTGGAGATGAATCATCTCACGACTAACCCTCTCCCCCTTCCCCCCCCTCCCCCAACACCTCAGGCATTTTTCCCGCCTGTTCACGGCAATGCAAGCCTTCCGCAACGCAGTGGCGCTGGTGGAGATGGGCAAGCGGAAGTACAACCTCGCAGAACCCCAAATGCTCAACGGCATTCTCCTCGTGAAGCAGGAGATTCCAAAGATCGAGCCTGCCCAGTTGGCTCGGGAGCTGGGTCGGCAGGCCACCGCGCTTGAGAGCCAGGCTCGGAATTACGCGGTTTCGGCGCTGAGGGTGGCTCAGAATGGGCTGACGTCGTTTGAGGTGCAGAAGAACACGAAGAGGCAGCAGGAGCTGAGAGATCAGCAGCTGCAGCGGGTGCAGAAGGAAAAACAGCAGCAGCAGAAGCAGCAGGGGGTGCAGGGGCAAGGGGGTGGTCAGTAATGGTGGCACGGCAAACCTTTATAACTGTGACTCCAATTTCAGGTTCGAACGAGCAGAAGCAGGATGGCGCCCAGGAAAAAGTAATTAGGGGGGTGGGAAAGGAGCTCAATTAATTTTGTAAATTTGATTATAATTATGAATAATCAGAAGCATATGGATATTGATATCGATTTAATGAAAGTTTTTTTTTCGAATGATGATGGATTTTGATTAAGGTTTGATAGTACTATTGCTTTATTGAGCAACCTCGCTGCTGATGCAATTTCTGACTTCCTCTAGTTTTACTAGCGGAGAATGTAATAACGCATACACGCAACGTCAGATCACGCTCCCAATTGGTGCTCTACGCGGCAGCCTGAGAGCCACGTTGCTCTTTCTCTGGTCTCGAATTGCCACGTGGATCTTAGAAAAAGCTTGAGGACCCTCGGATTTGTCGACCACTTCCACACGCACCTGCTTGGAGAAAGTGACCCAACCAGGCCAACCTTTTCAGTGAAATTTGTCCTTAAAACAATTTGTTTTTGTCTGCCCGGCAACCGTTGGCTGGGTGTTTTCACGCAGTTGGGTTGAGAAACTCTTCCTCTCTGAACAGACCGCCTGGAGTAAAAAACAGCGGAAATAATCTTCAATCTGCCCAGCATTCGAACCCATGTCTGCCAGTGTACAGTACACTCGTTTCTCCTCGGGATGCCTGCAATGTACGACGACGAGCCGACACAGCTCTGTTATCTACCTTCCCACAGGTGTGTAGCGGTTGAAAGCGGTTCCACAGCTTACCATGCTTTATGTGAAGTAAAAACGACATGCCTTGATTCCATCCTTTTGCTGGGAGCTCCCTTGGGAACTCCACTCCGCACATTCCACACTTAATTCCCTGCGAAGACCAGCGGCTAAAGGTTGTTTCTGTCAGAAAGAATGGCTGCAGTGTTGTGCGGATAAAGGTTATACCATAGGTCGTATCTCATTCTCTGCGCTACTGCGGGTTCGACGTCAATTCGCGATCGTTACTCCGCTTTCGCGCCTCTCGTTTCTGCAGTTGTGACCTTTCTTAGAAGCGTGTTGCGTGTAACTCGTTGTCGGGAGTTTCGAGTAACCATGGCGAGCACGGCGGCTTGCGCTGCGTCGCTAGTTCTCCCTCATGGGCCCAGCGCAGCTTTTGATCGCAGCCGCTCACTCAGTACCGACACGTCAGCACACGCATTAGCTGCGTCAGCCGGCCAGATTCACAGACATACGATCTCTTATAGGAAAGGTGCTTACAGCGGGTGTTCCAGTGGCGGGAGTGCGAATTCCAGGCCTACTCCGTTTAGAAATTCCTTATTTCCCTCCTCACATTTAGTGTCGGTAGGTTCTAGGAGGCTGTTGGCGACAGGCGAGCCGCTTACCTCTAGGTTCGAACCGCGTAAGTCGCGGACCGTTAGTCCGAGGCGCACACAATTGGCGACCCGAGCAGCCGTGGACACGTCACCTCCTTCCACCGGCCTCCGCGGCAGCAGCAGCAGCAACCGCCCGCCACGTGGCATCCCCACCGGCGGGAATGGCGCCGCGATTTCCAGTAACGGGTCGGCCACGCGATTCGCGCCGGGAGCGCCGTTGAAGCGACCATTGGAGCGGCCGAGAGACAGAGTCTTCGAGGAGGATCCGGCGGAGGAAGCGGCCGCTGCGCGCCGCGCGATCGGCGCGCCGCTGTACGACGCGCAAGGGGTCGCGAAATTCTACTCTAAACGACCGTTAGAGGTAGTCGGTCGAGCGCTGCGCGTCACGACAGCGCTCGGCTCAGTCGCCGCCTCCGTCCTGATCGACCGGCAGCGCGGCCAGCTAGACGCCAACATGCCGCGCCGAGCCTCGCAGCTTCGGCGCGCGCTGACGAGCCTGGGCCCCACGTTCGTGAAGCTAGGTCAGGCGCTCTCCACCCGCCCGGACCTGTGCCCGCCGGCATATTTGGACGAGTTAGCGCTGCTGCAGGACGCGTTGCCGACGTTTCCCGATGCCGAGGCGTTTGCGTGCATTGAGGGCGAGCTGGGTCGGCCTATGGAATCCATGTTCGAGTCCATCAGCCCTTCCCCGATTGCCGCTGCCAGTCTCGGCCAGGTAAGGCTGCTTCACACATCCAGCATCACCCCATGACGCGCGTGCGCGCATAGAGGGCGAGCTGGGTCGGCCTATGGAATCCATGTTCGAGTCCATCAGCCCTTCCCCGATTGCCGCTGCCAGTCTCGGCCAGGTGAGCCCCCAAACCTCCCAGCTTGTCGAGTTGGCGCTACTCGCGCTGCTGCAGGATGCGCTGCCGACGTTTCCCGATGAAGAGGCGTTCGCGTGCATAGAGGGCGAGCTGGGTCGCCCTATGGGAACCATGTTCGAGTCCATTAGCCCGTCACAGATCGCTGCTGCCAGTCTTGGTCAGGTAAGGTCTCACACATCCAATGTCACCCTAAGGTGGTGTGTGCGTGCATAGAGGGTGAGCTGGGTCGACCCATGGAGGCCATGTTTGAATGTATCAGCCCGTCACCCATAGCTGCTGCTAGTCTCGGGCAGGTAAGGAGGAGGCCACACCCACACACACATGCCACCTTTGGTGGCGTGTGCGTGCATAGAGGGCGAGCTGGGTCGACAAATGGAGACCATGTTCGAGTCTATCAGCCCGTCGCCCATTGCTGCTGCTAGTCTCGGGCAGGTGAGCATGGAGCAACACTCTTTCCATGTGTTCATCCACACGACGAAACTCCCTTTCTCTCTCCTCCTGCTTTCTCCCTCCCTCTCCTCCCTCTGTTCCATCCCTCTTCCTCTCTTCCCTGCACCTCCAGTTGTACGTGGGCTTGAGACGTTTTTCTCTCTCTTGCCCCATCCCCTCCCTTCCCTCCCCCTCCTCCCTCTCCCCTCTCTTCCCTCCAGGTCAACAAGGCATGGCTGATCAGATCAGGCACAGAATTAGCAGCCAAGGTGCCATGCCCGGGCATCACAACAGCCATAGGGCTCCCTCCCCTTCTCCCTCTTCCTCCGCCTGCTCCCTCCTTGACTCTCCCGCTTGCAGGTGTACAAGCGGGTCAGGAACTGAGGTAGCTGTTAAGGTGCAGCGCTCGGGCATCACAACAGCCAATCGAGCTCCCTTCTCCTTCTCCTTCCCCTTCTCCCTCTTCCTCCGCCTGCTCCCTCCCTGACTCTCCCGCTTGCAGGTGTACAAGGCACGATTGAGCTGGTCAGGCATGGAAGTGGGAGTGAGTGAAGGTGCAGCGCCCGATTATCACCACAGCCATCGGGCTCCTCGCCCCCCTCCCTCTGCTCCTTCCCTCTGCTGCCTCCCTCTCCTCCCTCTCTCTTCTTTAGGTGTACAAGGCGCGTCTCATTGGAGGCACGGAAGTGGCAGTGAAGGTGCAGCGACCGGGCATCACAACAGCCATCGGGCTGGACTTTCTGCTCATCAGGGGCCTGTGCTCGCTGGTCGATAAATACGTTGATTCTCTTACTACTAGTGTAAGTGCGGTGCACTGCGGTGCACTCTGGTACAGTGGCCTGCAGTGCGGTGCAGTGTGGTCCTGTGCAGTGTAGTGCATGTATAGCGACCCTGTGGGCATCACAACAGCCATCGGGCTGGACTTTCTGCTCATTAGGGGGCTGTGCTCGCTGGTGGATAGATACGTTGACTCGCTCACCACTAGTGTAAGTTGAAAACGGATCAGTGCGTTTTGGAACAATTCAGTTCGGTTTAGTGCGATTCAGTGCGGTGTGGTGCAGTGCATGTGTAGCACCCCTCTGGGCATCTGGGCATCACAACAGCCATCGGGCTGGACTTTCTGCTCATCAGGGGGCTGTGCTCGCTGGTGGATAAGTACGTTGGCTCGCTCACAACCAGCGTAAGTCAATGCGGTTCAATGCGGTACTGTGCAATGCAGTGCTCGCTCATCGCTCCCTCTCCACCAGTGCATATGCTCGGTGTCATCCACTTGGGATTCTCATGATCTGATTGCCTACAATTCTACACGTGTACTGCCACAAAACTGAACTTCCGTATTTGAAAGCCTCTACTCAGCCTGCCTTCCCCTCTGCCCCTTTCTCTCTCTCCCCCTTTCCCTCCCCTCCCACTCCCCTCCCCTGTCTCCCCTTTAACCCTGGCAGTCAGTGGCGCTTCTAGACGAGTTTGCAGACAGGGTGTACCAGGAGGTATGTGACTCTCTTCTTTTTCCTCCTCTCTTACCTCGTCTCTTTCCTCTTCTTTTTCCTCCTCTCTTACCTCCTCTCTTTCTTCCTCTCTCTCCTCCTCCTATAAACTTTGTCCTCCCCATTTTTTGGTTAAATCCGATCAGTTACGTGCTCGTACGCAGTCTTTGTGAAAGCCCTGCTCTCCCACCCCACCCCAATTCACCTCACCCCACCCCACTTCATCGCACCCCACATCGTACCACCCACCCCACCCCACCCCACTCCACCTACCCCACGCCCACCCCACCCCACCCCATCCCACCTCACTCCTCCCCACTCCACCATTTCAGCTAAACTACGTCCAAGAGGCCCGCAATGCCCGGCGCTTTCGGCAGTTGTACGGCAACCAGAACGGGGTATACGTGCCGCAGGTGAGCGGTGGAGAGCGGTGAAGAGGGGTGGGAAAGGTGCAGATACGTAAGGTGGGGACGAGAGTTGCTTTCGGCAGCTGTACGGCAACCAGAACGGGGTGTACGTGCTGCAGGTGAGGGGTGGAGAGCGGTGAAGAGGGGTGGGAGGGGTTGCAGGTGCGTAATGTGGGGACGAGAGTTGCTTTCGGCAGCAGTACAGCGACCAGAACGGGGTGTACGTGCCGCAGGTGAGGGGTGAAGAGGGGTGGAAAGGGGTGTATATGCATGGAGTGGGTGGATGGGGTGAAGCTGAGAGGAGCGATGGGGGCACTAATAGTAGTTTCTTACACACCTATGTGCCATGCATGTACCTGCACTGCACATACACATTTATGCACTGCCATCCATCCTCCCATGCAGATCGTGTGGCTCAACACATCCTCCCGCGTGCTGTGCATGGAGTTGGTGGATGGGGTCAAGCTGAGCAGAGCGATGGGAGTAGTAGCTGCTTACACACCTATGTGCTATGTATACGCTGCCCACCCACTTGCCAGATCGTGTGGCGTAACACATCGTGCCGCGTGCTGTGCATGGAGTGGGTGGATGGGGTCAAGCTGATCTGAGCTGAGCCGAGCTGAGCGATGAGAGCACAGACACACCAGTGGAACACATACTCACCAGATGCACCCACCGCCTTCTACCCACCCATCCCCTCCCCTTTAACCATGCAGATTGTGTGGCGCAACACATCGTGCCGCGTGCTGTGCATGGAGTGGGTGGATGGGGTCAAGCTGAGCGATGCTGGTTGTATGTGCTTACACACCTTTATGCCATGCGTATACCTGGGACCCACACCACACCCCTCTCCTCTCCCCACACAGATCGTGTGGCGCAACACATCGTGCCGCGTGCTGTGCATGGAGTGGGTTATGCCATGCGTATACCTGGGACCCACACCACACCCCTCTCCTCTCCCCACACAGATCGTGTGGCGCAACACATCGTGCCGCGTGCTGTGCATGGAGTGGGTGGATGGGGTCAAGCTGAGCGATGCTGGTTGTATGTGCTTACACACCTTTATGCCATGCGTATACCTGGGACCCACACCACACCCCTCTCCTCTCCCCACACAGATCGTGTGGCGCAACACATCGTGCCGGGTGCTGTGCATGGAGTGGGTGGATGGGGTCAAGCTGAGCGATGCAGCGAGCATGAGGCAGAACAACCTTGATGTGATTGACCTCGTGGACATTGGCATTCAGTGCTCTCTCCGGCAGTTATTGGAGTGAGTTGAGTGCGGTTGAATGCGGTTGACATCGGTGGAGCTGAGAGAGCATGAGGCAGAACAACCTTGATGTGATTGACCTCGTGGACATTGGCATTCAGTGCTCCCTCAGGCAGTTGCTAGAGTGAGTTGACTGCTGCTGTTGACTGGTGTTGACTCACGCTGACTTGTTAGACTACAGGGTGTAGCTGAGTAATGCCCTTTCACTTCAAATTTCCTCCTTCCTAACTGTCTGTCCACACCACTTTAAAAATGCTTATCACTCCTAGTCACCACTCTTCACCCCTCATCACCCCTCTGCACTGCACAGGTTCGGTTACTTCCATGCGGACCCCCATCCCGGCAACCTGCTTGCCATGTCTGACGGCCGTCTGGCCTTCCTTGACTTTGGTGCGTGACGACATCACTAGACACTCACTCACTCACTCACTCGCTCCCCTCACTCATTGCTTGGAGCCGACTCACTCACTCATCCACTCATTCCTTGGGGCCGACTCACGCACTCATTCACCCATTCCTTGGGGCCGACTCACTCACTCATCCACTCATTCCTTGGGCCTGACTCACTCACTCATTCACTCATTCCTTGGGTCTTGTATCCCTTCACACCTAAAGCATGCTGATTTCTGAATTTCCCGCTTGAGACGTTTTTCTGTCTCAGCCCGATTCGCCATTATAGCCAAGGTGATTGTCACACTGTCCTTCATTCTCCCTCCCAACCGCACTGAACTAGATGGCACCGCATTGTACCTCATGCTGCTCTGGTTGTCCCCCTTCGCACGCACCCATCACTCTCTTCATTAGGCATTATGAGTGAGACACCCCCTCGAGCCCGCTTCGCCATCACAGGCCACACGAATGCCCCACTGTCCTCCCAACCGCACTGCACCACATTGTACCTCATGTTGCGCCACAACAACCCTTTTGCACCCCTCCGCTCTCCAGGCATGATGAGTGAGACGCCCCCCCGAGCCCGATTCGCCATCATAGGCCACGTGGTGCATCTGGTGAACCGGGACTATGAGGCCATGGCGCGCGATTACTATGGTAAGAGAGGATATGCTTATAACGGGTACATGTGTTGCAAGGCCTTGTCTCGCCATCATAGGCCACGTGGTGCATCTGGTGAACCGGGACAATGAAGCCATGGCTCGCGATTATTATGGTAAGAAGATAGGCTTGTAAGGGAGATGCTTGTAAGGGGGATGTTTGTATGGAGTACACGTGTTGTGATGTCCCATCTCGCCATCATAGGCCACGTGGTGCATCTGGTGAAACGGGGCTATGAGGCCATGGCACGCGATTATTACAGTAAGAAGATATGCTTGTAAAGGAGACGTTTGTAAGGGGGATGCTTGTAAGGAGTACATGTATTGTAGTACCCTGGTTGCTCCATCATAGGCCACGTGGTGCATCTGGTGAATCGATCGAGACTGTGAGACATGGTGAGGTAGGCCATGCCTCGCGGTTACTACAGTAAAGAAGATCGGCCATGGACCCATCCCACAGTAAGGGAGGGATTCTTCTGACATTTTCCAGTGAGCAGCAGCGCTTAAGCCTGAACCTAAGCGCTGCTGCTCACTGGAAAATGACAGAAGAGCTAGTGAGGGAGGGGTTTTATAACAAGTATATGTGCTTTTCGCCATCATAGGGCATGTGAATATCATGTAGCCGTTTTCCCTTTCTCCCCGCTTCGCCCTGCAAACCAAACCAGAGCTCGACTTTCAGTAAAAGTGGCGCCTATAGTGCCCCTGCCTCTCACCGTTGCCTCATCCATTCCCTGTTGCCGTCTGCCTCCCCTCTCCCCCCTCCCGTCTCTCCCTTTGCTCCCCCCTCTCCGGCTTTCCCTCCTCACCCTCCCTTCCCTCCACGCCTCGAGGTGACTTTTGAGTCGACTCAAAGGTCACCTCGTTCCCATCGTGCCCTCTCCCTATCCCCCTCTCCGGCTTTCCCTCCTCACCCTCCCTTCCCTCCACGCCTCGCCCCCTCCACGCCTCCCCCCCTCACTCACCCCACCAGAGCTCGACTTCCTAGACCCCTCAGTGGGCGTGGCGCCCATCATGCCCTCCTCTCCTCTGCACCTTGCTCCCCCCTTTTCCCCCCTCACTCCTTCCCCCTGCCCTTTTTCCCCCCTTTCACGCCTCTCCCTTCGCTCCCCTCCAGAGCTCGACTTCCTAGACCCCTCAGTGGACGTGGCGCCTATAGTGCCGGCTTTAAGAGGCTTCTTTGACGACGTTCTGCAGGTGGGGGGAGTGGGACGGGATGGGGCGGGGCGTGGCTGGGATGGGATGGGCATGAAGTGACACCCTCAGTGCACGTGCCGGCCACAGTGCCAGCTTTGAGGGGTTTCTTCGATGACGTGCTGCAGGTGAAGGGGGGATAGGGTTGGGTGCAGTTGGGTGCAGTTGGGTGGGGTGGGGTAGGGTGGGGTGGATGGGCATGAAGTGGCCTGTCGGTGCACGTGCTGCCCACAGTGCCAGCTTCGAGGGGATTCTTCGATGACGTGCTGCAGGTGGATGGGCGTGGTTTGTTTTGAGACGTCATGTGTATGAATATTTGTTTTGAGAGGTCTCAAAACAGATCTTCATACACCCGCCCACAGTGCCAGCTTTGAGGGGATTCTTCGATGGCGTGCTGCAGGTGAATGGGCGTGGGCATGAAGTGTTCCCTTAGTGCATGTGGCACCCATAGTGCCGGCTTTAAGAGGCTTTTTCGACGACATGCTGCAGGTGAGGCGGAGTGGGACGGGATGGGCATGAAGTGACCCCTCATGTGGCACCCATAGTGCCGGCTTTAAGAGGCTTCTTTGATGACGTGCTGCAGGTCGGTGGAGGGGTGGGGTGGGTGGGCTGGGGTGGGGTGGGGTTGGATGGGCGTGGGCATGAAGTGACCCCTCATGTGGCACCCATAGTGCCGGCTTTAAGAGGCTTCTTTGATGACGTGCTGCAGGTCGGTGGAGGGGTGGGGTGGGTGGGCTGGGGTGGGGTGGGGTTGGATGGGCGTGGGCATGAAGTGACCCCTCATGTGACACCCATAGTGCCGGCTTTAAGAGGCTTTTTCAACGACGTGCTGCAGGTGGGGGGAGGGTGTGGGAGAGGGGGGAAATGGTGGTGGTGTAGGTATTGCGTGATTGGTTGATGCAGGTGGGAATGGTGTGCGTTTGAAACTCAATCCAAAGATTGCTTTCCTGTGCTGACTTTTGAGTCGGCTCAAAAGTCAACTCAATCCAAAGATTGCTTTCCTGTTTTTTGTGGCACCGATCACCTCCGTATCAGCACTAAGAGGCTTCTTTTGAGTCGACTCAAAAGCGATCACCTCCGTATCAGCACTAAGAGGCTTCTTTTGAGTCGACTCAAAAGCGATCACCTCCGTATCAGCACTAAGAGGCTTCTTTTGAGTCGACTCAAAAGCGATCACCTCCGTATCAGCACTAAGAGGCTTCTTTTGAGTCGACTCAAAAGCGATCACCTCCGTATCAGCACTAAGAGGCTTCTTTTGAGTCGACTCAAAAGCGATCACCTCCGTATCAGCACTAAGAGGCTTCTTTTGAGTCGACTCAAAAGCGATCACCTCCGTATCAGCACTAAGAGGCTTCTTTTGAGTCGACTCAAAAGCGATCACCTCCGTATCAGCACTAAGAGGCTTCTTTTGAGTCGACTCAAAAGCGATCACCTCCGTATCAGCACTAAGAGGCTTCTTTTGAGTCGACTCAAAAGCGATCACCTCCGTATCAGCACTAAGAGGCTTCTTTTGAGTCGACTCAAAAGCGATCACCTCCGTATCAGCACTAAGAGGCTTCTTTTGAGTCGACTCAAAAGCGATCACCTCCGTATCAGCACTAAGAGGCTTCTTTTGAGTCGACTCAAAAGCGATCACCTCCGTATCAGCACTAAGAGGCTTCTTTTGAGTCGACTCAAAAGCGATCACCTCCGTATCAGCACTAAGAGGCTTCTTTTGAGTCGACTCAAAAGCGATCACCTCCGTATCAGCACTAAGAGGCTTCTTTTGAGTCGACTCAAAAGCGATCACCTCCGTATCAGCACTAAGAGGCTTCTTTTGAGTCGACTCAAAAGCGATCACCTCCGTATCAGCACTAAGAGGCTTCTTTTGAGTCGACTCAAAAGCGATCACCTCCGTATCAGCACTAAGAGGCTTCTTTTGAGTCGACTCAAAAGCGATCACCTCCGTATCAGCACTAAGAGGCTTCTTTTGAGTCGACTCAAAAGCGATCACCTCCGTATCAGCACTAAGAGGCTTCTTTTGAGTCGACTCAAAAGCGATCACCTCCGTATCAGCACTAAGAGGCTTCTTTTGAGTCGACTCAAAAGCGATCACCTCCGTATCAGCACTAAGAGGCTTCTTTTGGGTCGACTCAAAAGCGATCACCTCCGTATCAGCACTAAGAGGCTTCTTTTGAGTCGACTCAAAAGCGATCACCTCCGTATCAGCACTAAGAGGCTTCTTTTGAGTCGACTCAAAAGCGATCACCTCCGTATCAGCACTAAGAGGCTTCTTTTGAGTCGACTCAAAAGCGATCACCTCCGTATCAGCACTAAGAGGCTTCTTTTGAGTCGACTCAAAAGCGATCACCTCCGTATCAGCACTAAGAGGCTTCTTTTGGGTCGACTCAAAAGCGATCACCTCCGTATCAGCACTAAGAGGCTTCTTTTGAGTCGACTCAAAAGCGATCACCTCCGTATCAGCACTAAGAGGCTTCTTTTGAGTCGACTCAAAAGCGATCACCTCCGTATCAGCACTAAGAGGCTTCTTTTGAGTCGACTCAAAAGCGATCACCTCCGTATCAGCACTAAGAGGCTTCTTTTGAGTCGACTCAAAAGCGATCACCTCCGTATCAGCACTAAGAGGCTTCTTTTGAGTCGACTCAAAAGCGATCACCTCCGTATCAGCACTAAGAGGCTTCTTTCTGTGATGGCATGCCGCATGCGGCAGGAGTGGTGACGGGGATGGGTGGGTGGTCGTGGGCGTGATGATAGGGAGGGGCATTTTGAGGCGCCTCAAAATGCACCTCACTAGACGGGGATGGGTGGTCGTGCGCGTGATGATAGGGAGGGGCTCATCCCCGTCACCCATCCCCGTCACGGTGACGGGTATGAGCGCGGATTAACTCTCATCAAGTCTTGAGCCGTATTCATGTCTCCCTATCAGGCACCTGTCAGCGAGCTCAACTTCAAGACCAGCGTGGATGGGCTCTTCTTGGGGCAACCAGAGTGCTGCTACTGACCAGCGTGGATGGGCTCTTCTCGGGGCAACCAGAGCGGCTGGTTGGCTGTATGGGGTGCAGCTGACCTTACATCTGTGCCTGCCTGCCTGTACCCTCCTTACCCTCCCCCCACCTGCCCCTCACCTCGTCCCATCAGGCGACCGTCAGCGAGCTCAACTTCAAGACCAGTGTGGATGGGCTCTTCTCGGGGCAACCAGAGTGCTGCTGCTGACCTACATCAGTGAAAGCCTCGTTTCCTACTTCCATGCCTGCCTCGTTTCCTACTTCCATGCCTGCCTCGTTTCCCTCCTCTTCCCACCAGGTGACGGTCAGCGAGCTCAACTTCAAGACCATCATGGATGGGGTGGGGGCAACCAGAGTGACTTACATGAATGCCTGCCATGCCTCCTTCCTCTTTCTATGCCCGCCTCCTTACCTGCCTCCTTCCATTTCTATCCTCGCACCCATCAGGCAACGGTCAGCGAGCTCAACTTCAAGACCATCGTGGATGGGCTGGGGGCAGTGCTTTATCAGTACCCCTTCAATGGTGAGTTGTTTTTGCTTCTACAACTTCTTTTGAGATAGATCCTTCGCTTCTACAACCCTTTGCCCTTTGTTCCTTGTTCCGGTCACGACCTGCCACGCCCCAACCCACTTCACCACGTTCTATCCCTCTCAATGCTCCCATGCAGTCCCGGCTTACTACTTCACCACGTTCTACTACGCTACACGCTCATCCTCCACTTCCTCACAGTGCTTGAAGGCCTGGCACTCTACTCCCACCTCCACCTCCCCACCCTAACTAGCTCTTGTCTTGTGCTTTCTTCCTCTTCATTCATATCCCTCCCCCCTTCCCCCAATCCAGTTCCGGCTTACTACGCTCTCATCCTCCGCTCCCTCACAGTTCTTGAGGGCCTAGCACTCTACTCCGATCCCAACTTCAAGGTAAGGAGGTGACTTTGAGTCGACTCAAAATTCATCCGGCACTCTACTCTACTCTGATCCCAACGTCCAGGTAAGTCTATGGATGGATCCGTGCCTTGGTAACTCATACCCCAAGACGGCTTTCCCCCTCTCTACTTACTTTGGTAACTCACACACACCCTTACAATTCCGACTTTTCCCTTTATCCCGACAACTCACACACAGTGTTTGAGGGCCTGGCAGGCTCTCTACTCCAATTCCGATTTCAAGGTCAGCCCTCCTCTGCTTGAGGAAACTCAGAAGTTTCTGCTTTTTTTTCACTCTCCCACCAAACCAATCACAGGTGCTCGCAGCAGCATACCCCTACATGGCAAAGCGCCTCCTCACCGACCCAAACCCCTACCTGCGTGACGCTCTAATCGAACTCCTTTTCAAAGACGGTGTCTTCCGCTGGTCGCGCCTCGAGAATCTCCTCACCCAGGGGCAGCGCGACCGCGACTACAAGACAACCGATGCCCTCCAGCCGCTCATGGCCCTAATCCTAGGCCCTGAGGGGAAGCCGTTAAGAGCGCTGGTGGTAGCTGAAGGAGTGAGAGTCGCTGAGGCGCTGCTGGTGGCCGGGGCAGTGGATGGAGCGTTGGAAGTGTTACCAGATGCGGTTACCACCGCGCTGCTTCCCCGGCCACTGGTGCCGCTGAGGCAAGCGTTAGAGGCGGCGAGAGGGGGGGGCGGGGGTGCGGGTGGGAGTGGGAGTGCGGGAGGGAGTGCGGGGGTGGGGAGGGGAGCGGGAAGGGGGGATGCGAGGGGGAGGAGTATGGAGGAGATGGTGGAGTTGAGAGCTCAGGTGCTGCGGTGCTGGGCGTTGCTGAGGACTTCGGATGGGTTTGACCCGGCGAGTCTGCTTCCTCTCGTTGATGTGAGTGCTGTTGATGTTGATGTGGTGATGTGAGTGCTGTGGTAGTGCTGTGATGAATTGATAATGTTGGTGATGACTATGAAGGAGTATGAGGGAGTATGGAGGAGATGGTGGAGTTGACAGCTCAGGCGCTGCGGTGCTGGGCGCTGCTGAGGACTTCGGATGGGTTTGACCCGGCGAGCCTGCTTCCTCTCGTTGATGTGAGTGCTGTTGTGGTGCTGTAGGGTGTTTTTGGGTATTCTCAAAATCACCCTGTGAGTGCTGCGCTGCTGCGGTGCTGTGAGATGTGGTAAGAACGAAACGTCATTTGAGAATTCTCAAAAGGAATCACTTTTGGGAATTCTCAAGAGTGCTGCGCTGCTGCGGTGCTGTGAGATGTGGTAAGAACGAAACGTCTCTTCCTCCACTCTAATAGACGTACGGTTTGAGATGTCTGACAAGCAATTTGTGCCATCCCTCTGCTATCCCATAGGTGCAATATCCTTTCTGAGAATCCTCAAACAACAGGAGGAGGTGAGAGAGGTACGGCCAGTCTCTGAGCTCCGAGACATCCAAAACCCATCCCAACCGATTGCCACTCCTCTACTGTCCCTCTGCCACCCCACAGGTGTTGCAACAGGAGGAGGTGAGGGAGATGGGATCGGACTTTGCTACAGCCTTGCTGCAGAGACTGGCAGCACGCTCGCTACAGCTGCTGCTACAACCTCCGCCGTCCTCCCAGGCCCCTGCACCTGCACCAGCTCTGTAGGGCTCTCCACCAATCAAGCGTCTGACTGAGCTTTCTACAGCTGTCCCTAGCTACTGCCCTGTAGGGCTCTGTCAGCTGGCACTCTAGAGCCTTTTGGTGTGCTTGCTGCAACTGCCGTTTGCTACAGCTGCTGCTCGCTACAGTTGTTGTTTGCTGCTACTTCTATCCTGAAATACTGTACCTGCTCCGGCTATTACGGCATCATTGTTCGGAGCATGCTATTTGAATCTGAAGTCCCCTATGAGTTGTAAATGAGAGTGCAAGTCAATAACGAGGTTATGATTACTGTTGGGCTGAGAAAAGCCCTTAAGATCCTTGTAGGGGTGAACTCTGGGTAGGACTGATGCAATAGCGGAAGCTTTTTAATGAAGTATTGTGAACCACCTTGCGCTAGTATGTGAGGGCAAAGTCGATTGATTAAGGGTACATTCCGCTGTGGACACATGTCCCAATCGATGTGTCCCAATCGAGTGTACCGCTCCGAACCGAACTAAACCAGAGACGCGAAAATTTCGAAACTAGGGTGCAATTTGGTGTAATACGATGCAGTGCGGTAGAAACGATTGGGAGTTGGGACACATCGATTGGGACGTGTGTCCACAGCGGAATGTACCCTAAAACAAAGAGATATAAGATTATATAAGAGTACAAGGAATATGGAAGGATACGGTTATAACTGTTTTACTGTTGTTGTTGCGGTTTAAACAGCGACGACTCGGGCAACTGCTCTGTAGCGAGTCAGTTGTGTGTCCTTGGTGTTGTGCTGTACTTGTCAGGTCAAAGGTCGCTGACCTTTGACTTTCGCGTAACCTCCAACAGTTACTTACAACCTCCGAGGGTTGACTCGCCGGTGCTTCGGTATGCTTCGATTCGCTTGTGTCTTAGTGTTTCGACACGACAGAGGCGCTTTAAGATCGGTTGTTTCCAACACTCTCCTTCGCTTCTGAAGTGTCGCTGCTGGTGACGTGGCTCTGTCCAGTCAGCAGCATGCAGTCAGGCCCCTAGATTCGTTTTGAGGTAGTCTGAGGCCTCAGAGTACACCCCTCCTGGAACTCTGTCTGTCAGAGGTGCCTCAAAATTTTAGTCTGAAAATTCAGACAGGCACAAATTTTTTTGTCTGAACTGTCAGAGTTACTTCAATTTTTAAGATGTTCATGCACTTTTGTAAAAGCTGTTATAATAGCATTGAAGATGATTACAGCATACCATACCAACGCATCAGGCAACGTGCTCGTGCTCGTGCATCGCCTCTGCTCATGTCGGCGGCGTTCCGGTGTTTTTGTCACATGCAACGCATGGTTGTTTCTGCTCTGCTGCTGATCTCATTTCGTTTTGTCGTGTGTGTGATTACCGTTCTGTACCCATTTTCTCGCATGTGTGCCGATTTTGTCAGTTTTGGATTTGCTTTTCAAGCGATGCGATCGTTCACCCGATCTGTATCAGGTGGGCCAAGTGCCACGCGACACCCTCGGCCCGAATAGAGCACCCGATCTGTATCAGGTGGGCCAAGTGCCACGCGACACCCTCGGCCCGAGTAGAGCACCCGATCTGTATCACGTGGGCCAAGTGTCACGCAGATGAGCTGGCAGCAGGCAGAAGCTGTTGCTTGGCGTGGCATGTAAGCATCAGACAGTGTCACACGAAACTTTCACTACGAATAAGGAATGTCGCAAATCACACCAGTGGGTGTTGCATATGTTTTTACAGCGAATCAGCATCAAAGTCGCCTATTCTTTACAGTACATAAGCGATAACTTACATGTGACGAGATTTTGTCTTCCAGAATCTCGTAATCACGCAACTCTTTCCTCAGCGTAACTGGAAGATATTCGCGACGAACGAGTGTATTTCGATGTCCCAGCTGTCGAAGTGAGTGTTGCTCACGTCTTGGCACTCCACTGCCATCTCGGAAGTGGGCATATCGGAAGGAAACTTCCAGGAAACTTCTCTCCGATAAGCGCGGAGAGTGTACCCCCGATACAAGTCTGAGGCTCAGCCTACCCTAGTAAAATTAGGCTGAAATTTCAGACAACTCATAAGAAAAAACTCTGGAAAATCAGACAAGGTACATAAATGAATTCTTTGAGTTCAGACTAGGTACAAAAAAAAAGTCTGAACGGACTCTGATTCAGACTCTAAAGTCTGATATCTAGGGCACTGCATGCAGTTATCGAACTTCTGCTTTCCGAGCTTCTTGGTCAGCTAGTCAGCTGCCATCTCGGACGTGGGGCAGTATGACAGCTCGAGCCTCCCTTTCTCGATCTCGTCCTTTACGAAGAAATATCGCAGGGCGATGTGTTTCGTCATGTTCGCGAAGCCGTTCTTGTTGGCGCTGCGAATTGCCGACTAGTTGTCGCAGAACAGAGTGAAGCTGGGTAACTGAGCCAGCTTCGCTTCTTCCAGCAGTTCGCGAAGGTAAAGTCCTTCCTTGGTGGCTGAACAGAGTGCAATATATTCTGCTTCAGCTGACAAGAGGGCGATTAATTCCTGCTTGCTCGACTGCCAAGAGATAGGTCCGATAGGTTCGAGGCGGTAGATGTAGCCGGTGCGAGAGCGCCTATTGTCGGAGTCGCCAGCGTGATCGGCGTCGACGTAGCCGATTAACTTAGGCGGTATGGTTGCGTTCTTGTAGTAAGTTAGACCGATCGTCGGGGTGCTGACTAGGTAGTGAAGAGCGTGGTCGAGCTCAGCTAGATGTTCCGTTTCAGGCTTCTTAAGGTAGGTGGCGAGCTGACTTGCAGAGTACGATAGGTCCGGACGACGGGTGACGGCTGCGAAAAGGAGGCATCCCAGTTTCCTCTGGTAGTCGTGTATGCCGACGAGCTTAAGTAGAGCAGAGCTTCCCTTGCTGTTTCCAGTCGTGTAGCGGTATGGTGTGGAGATGGCGGTCGGTGCGAGTGCGAAGCACTTGGCGATGGTGTCGGCGTATTTCGTGGCACTGAGGTAGATCGCGTCTTCCTCTTCTCGGATGTTGAGACCGAGGTACTGTGTGACGGTAGTTGAGACCGTGAGTGTGAGGTCCTTCTGCAGCTCCCCTTCGAACCAGGTTGTGATGCCGTCGGTCGAGCTGATGTAGAGTAGATCGTCTACATAGACGATTAACAGGATGTAGTCGGTGTTCTTCGTGAGCCGGTACATGCCCTGATCCTGCGGTAGTTGTTTGAAGCCGATGCGAATGAGGCGAGCGTGCAGGTATTGTTGCCATAGCCGCGGAGCTTGCTTGATGCCGTAGAGCGACTTCAGCAGCTGACAGACTTGATTGGGCTCTCCATTGGAGCCGTGCGGTAACTCGACGAAGATTTCTGCGTCGACAGGTGCGTAGAGAAATGCGTTCGCGACGTCGATTTGTCGCAAATTCTTCTTCTTCATGGCGGCGATCGCAAGGAGAATTCGCAGTGAGGTATGTCGGCTGACCGAAGCGAATATCTTTGTGAAGTCGCGTCCGTGTTCTTGGTCGAAGCCACGTACGACCCAGCGTGCTTTGAATTTGTCGATGGTGCTGTCTGCTTTTGTTTTCACTCGGAAAACCCACTTTCCGGTGAGAATCGTTTTGTTCCGCGCCACACTGATGGGAACGACTTTCCAAGTGTTGCGCTCCTCTAGTGCCTTTAATTCCCTGTCCATGGCTTCGCGCCATTTTTCTTTATGCTCCCCCCCCAGAGCCTGCTGAACTGTGGCAGGCTCCTTAGGAATGACTGTGCCGTAGACTGCGGTGACGAGTCCGAGTATTTGGAGTCCACTCTGTGTGTAGCGGGGGAGTGACATGTCCGCGGGATAAACAGCTTCAGCTCCCGCTTCTGGATCAAGTGCGAAGTTGGGTCCTACGCGTTCTGCTTCGTCGGTGTTGACTTGTGTAGGTGTAACGTAACCGTTGTCAGCGAAGTGATAATAGGTTTCGGCGTTGATGCTTTCGCGTGGGTTTTCGTCGTCCATTGGCACGTCGACGGAGCAGTAAGGGAGGGGTCCGGCTTCTTCCGAGGCTCCTTCCACATTCTGCTCATCCCAGTCAGCTTCGTCTTCTGCCAAAGCAAAGGCTCGGTCTCCACGAAAGCCACCTGTGAGGTCTCGGTTTTCGTCCAGGTTGGCAAGGTACGTCGGCAGTGTGAGTTGCTCGTAGAAAATGACATCACGTGCTGCCACTGTTTCTTTTGTCTCGACGTCGAAGATCTTCCATGCGTTGTAGTGTTTTTCGATGCCCATGTGTAGTCCCCACTGTGCGCGTTGGGAGAATCGGCCGGCTCGTGCAGATGGGGGCCGGTACTGTACCATGCAGCAAAAGACTCGTAACATTTTGGTGCTGCCCAACTTTCCTGTCCACAGCAGATGTGGTGATGCGTTGTTCGGGAGTGATGACGAAGAAAGCAAGTTGTGCAGCATCACGGCGTGGTCCATTGCTTCGGGCCACTAGTGGTTGGGTAGCCACATTGTCAGAATGCTATTATCTAGCTTGTAATGGGGTGCTCTATAGCGGGTACAACCCAGTTAGGGTTTGCTATATGTATCCCAACTGCTGCTAGTGAAACCCCTCCCTTGTTCATTTCTCTCTTGCCTAGCTAGCTAAACCCTAGCTATGGCTCCTCACTGTGCTTACTATTGTAAGATGGTTTCATAGCATTTACGCTCCTGGCCTGTGGGCCCACCTAACTGCTTCCGCTGCTACTCTGTGTGTTCCACGCCCCGTGGCGTGCGACGGATTTTTCTTCTCGCCGCGCGCTCGGAGCGTGCGGCGGTTTTCTGCCCGCCGTGCGCCCCAAGGCGTGCGGCGGTTCTCTGCCCGCCGTGCGCCCCGAGGCCCGCGGCGGCTTTCTGCCCCATCGGTCCGCGCGTCGCCCCCGGGGGGCGCTTCGACGGGCGACGGGGACCAGCCCGCCGTCCCCGATCGCCCGTCCCGGCCAGCGCGGGCTGCACTAGCCCCGAGCGCGGCCCGTACGAGCTGCGCCCGGCCAGCGCGCGGCCCGTAAGGGCTGCGCCAGGCCCACGCGCAGCCCGTATGGGCTGCG